CGAACAATTTTTTTTAAACAGATTAGTTGAAGTGTCCCATTAGAACGGTTTCTATCATTTTAGAGTTTTTCAGTGGAATTGTCATGGCAATAATGACGTCAGATCAGATCGACCATCTCAACGTAGCTATTCCAAACTCTTCGAAACTATACAAATAATCTACGTGGAGATAAAAGTTTAATAATAGCAATGAAAAGTATGAATGCCGCAGACATCACCACGCAACATGACAATTTGTTCAAGGTTTGGTTTTGTGTGTTTCCAAAATCGATTTTCACGTTCCGATCATCAGTGGAAATACGGAACTAAAGAGATCAAGGGAAAAACAAAGGTTAAAAATCCAAAGAAGTGTGACACACGACGGGTAACTTGTGGTCGACCGCCAATTATTAGGTCGACCGCCAATTATTCAACCGAAATATATGCTAGGAATGGCCAAGGCCCACGCGGAGCATCGAAGGAGACCGGAAGCCGGGGGCAAAACGGAACACAATCTCGGGACGTAGATGAGGTAAGGACAGTGACACGGGACAGACGTAGGAAGGAGAACATGGATGGTATCAGACGACTGACTGGTGGTGAATATGAGTTGGGTGATGATGCGGCGGATGACGAGAATACAGATGACGACGAGGCGGATGACGGCGAGGATACAGATGACGACGAGGCGGGTGATGACGAGGCGGCGGATGAAGACGAGGCGGATGACGGTGAGACGGCTGGTGGTGATGGTGATAAAACGGACGAGGAGGAGTCAGGTGGCAGGGAAGGTGATGGAGCTGATGAGGGTGAAATTCGTAAGAAGTCAGCTGTGTATTTGCATTTGTTATCTCGTCCCGATTGTTTGAGTGTGTATGATGATTCCCACTTCTCTGTACTGTGTCGTGCCCGTTATGTCCAGCAGTTGAAGGTCCTTGAAGCTGTTTGTATTCGTACGCATAAGCCCGATTTGTGTAAGCAAAAAGAACATGTTTTAGCACTTAGGTTATTTTCGTGAGTTTGCACCCCGTGTTCATGAGTTGTTTCTGCACTGTTCATGCCCGTTTGTCACATTTACTCTTTATTTTAGTTCTCACTTTTTGTAATACTTACCACAAGTTACCCGTCGTGTGTCACACTTCTTTGGATTTTTAACCTTTGTTTTTCCCTTGATCTCTTTAGTTCCGTATTTCCACTGATGATCGGAACGTGAAAATCGATTTTGGAAACACGCAAAACCAAACCTTGAACAAATTGTCATGTTGCGTGGTGATGTCTGCGGCATTCATACTTTTCTTCGAAACTAATCCACCTTTCCCATCGGATGAGGTTGTGGAGTTTCGTTTATCTGAAGAGGCCAATAAGGCCACCTCTTCAGAAAAACGAAACTCGTCGAAAAGCCAAAGAGTGACAATTCGAACGCGCCCTAAGATCACTCTAACGTTGATGCTTAATTAAAGTTGCTTTGCTGTTCATTAGACTTCAGTGCGATCAGTTCGGCCAGTAACTCTGAGCTCAGCTGACGAGACCTAACGGGCCGAAAAATAGCTAGCTGTCCCGAGATTGAGCCATACATGTAAGTGGTCAGCGGCTCTTCAAGTCAGGCGCGTACACAGGGGGGGGGGGGGGGTTCCCTTGAAGTTCACACACAATTCTCTCCCACAATTCTTGCTCAGCCTACTGAAGCTCAACTGATATTATCATCATGATCGAGGGGTGGATTCATCGAAACGCTGTGGCCAGAGCATGGAAGTGGTGCGTTCTTGCAGGTTTGCTGAGTAGGCACCGGCGGATTATATTATGCTCGAAAAGGTGGCAGATTCTGCTCGAAGAGCAGTGAAATTGGCAGAACCATACAAACCTTATGGCGGGCAATTCATCGAATTCTGCTCCATTTCTTTATCCACATACCAAACATGCATGAAACTAACCAGAAAATGTACCGAATTCTGCCCTCATTATGGCATTCGCTTCCATGTAATTGGGCTTGTAGCCCGTGTGTACTTGCGAATTCAAATAAAAATATACATACATACATACATACCGAACAAATGCAACTTTAAGTACATGGCATTGTACTGTACAGTGCTGCTCGATGAGATCCGATCAAGCGAGCTTGCCTCGTCGGGCGCTGTGTAGCCCTGGCCTAGGCCTGCAAATACTGGAATGTACCGTACCGGTACTTGCTAGTCATTTTAAATACAGCCATGTAGTAGTACATGGTTGTATAACTTACTTATAAGTCTAGGCTGGGTGCTTCTCTTGTACAGTCAAGTGGCTTTTCATGGACATGCGTGTACAATGTACAAGATACAGAGATAATTATCTGGTTGAGCACTCTGGCAAGGTACGTTCGGGCCAGATTGGAAATTTTTATTTTCATTGCTATCAGGTTCGGCCTCATTTCCTCTGTGCTGCGCTGATGAGTTCACAAAGAACGAAACAGCATGCTGTCCGCAGATTGAAATAATATCTGGTGTACTACTACTGTACATGACATTTTCATGCAATAATAGTGGCTTCCAAGCCTATTACGTATCGGCAATCGATCTTTCCTTCCAACATATCGTTACCCAATGTTGTAGACATTATACCCTCTGCTATCATAATAATTATTGGGCGATGATCCCGTTTGGTTTTGCGAAGTAAAAGTAAGGAATACAATACAATACACTACAATGCACGCGATATTATCACGCCGGCATGTGTTCGTATCACTGGTCTCTTGCACAACCGTGCACAAGTCATGGTGATCGGTACACAGCATCATTGTTATCTATCGTGCAACTAATACTTTGCTAACACAATACCAAACCGTGTACGTTTACAATCACGCCCTGCACCTGACTCTTGCGCTATAGTGCTATGACACCCCTCAGAATTTCTCACCTTGCCCTCCGCCCTTATGTTCAGGCTGCCCGTTTTGGAGCCATCAGTTGCCTGATGATCGTAGTAATACGTGAAACTCAGAGTTGCGACACAGCGTCCAATCTCTCTTGTGCATACACAGATACACATGTGTGCGATCCCCTGCCAACTCGGCCTTGGCTTGCTTCTCAGTGCCCAGCCATGGCATTACGGTACGGGTAGGAAGCCAGGTAGGCGCCGCAACCGAGCCTACTTGTAGCCGTTGCACCGATATGTCACCGCAGAGCTAAGCCGCATCAGCTATGCAAGACTGGCTTCTGCAGATGATGACAAGAACAATCCGTGGAATCATGGTATCGTGACTCCCGAGCACATAGCATTGTTTCGCGTACTATCTGCCGTGTGTTACCTGCAGTTTGTTATCTGCCGTGATTATGATGCTAAGCCCGCTGCGTTGTTTCTCGCAGTTCTAACCAGGGAAGAAGAGGTTGGTGCTACATGTACTTCGGCGATACGTCGTGTACTCTAACCAGGGAGTAGTAAAATAACTACTCCCCCCTACAGACTGAGCACCGTTTCTTTGATGCTTGAGACGTTAAAAAGGCTTTGTTGTTCACAAGACTTTTCGAACTTGGATCAGTTGGGCCGGTCACTCTGAGCTCAGCTGATGAGATCGACGAAGGTTATCGTGCCAATTCGGGGGCACGTAGCCGCATCTGTACAAGGTCTCAAGTCTCTCTTCGACTTGTACTACCACGCCGAGCCTCCTGTCGATTTGGTTATTCCTCTCTTTCTTTTTTAGCCGCTGACCGCTGGAACTCAGTTCCGGCATCGGTCCGCCTTGCTGGTCCACCAAGTCAATTTCGTATCGCAATCCTAGATTGGCTAGGGTACCCCGTAAGGAGACCGTAGGTCCGTGGGGACTGCCCTAGAGAAATACGAATAAATAAAAATTAATACAATTAACCAAACTATTAACTGTAACTGTCCGGTTGGCCATTGCATGCATGTCGTGCGTGCAAATCAGTGCATTCCGCGGCACTAAACACTCGATTACTGTGTTATCCGCTAAGGCGCTGACACCCCACCCCGACATCGTTTTTTCATCCAGAGAGAAATAGAGAGACACACACTCCAACACCACACACACATGTACATGATTTGGTTGGTTCTGGCGCGTTCTTGCATTGCTTGTTTGCGTGGCTCTCGTGTTAGACATCGTACTGCTGCTAATGAGGTATCCCACACTCTGGCAGTGTCGGAAGCCCACATCTGGCGAGATTAGTTGCCATTTCTCGCTTCACTCCTGTGCATTTGTTGCTTATCATGTTCTTGTTTGTATTCAATTTGTTTTGTCCATTTTCTTTAACTTGTTTTTGGGAACACAGCCCATACTATGTGATCAGTCGCGTTGAGTATAAACACATCATGACATATACACACACGCACGCAAACACAGCACAACCAGGGAGCATTTTGTGACTCCCTGGCCTAGGCCCTGAGCACAACCCATGTGTCATACGTTGATACTGTACTGCAGTCACGTGATTTCGACTAGTGTACAGTACATGTATTTCTGCCGTTACGTGTGATCGCGTCAGTCATACTCAGACTCATAGCGCTACGAAAGGATACCGGTAATAATAAAAGAGAGATTTAAAAGATGCACGTAATTTCCGACGTGACGCGCAATTTCACGTCAAATTGGGTGTAAAACTCCAAATTTCGACGTGAACTGCAGGTCGCTCGCGTCATTTTTCAACGCGAGCTGAACGTTCGCATCATGTCAGAAATAACGTTTGAATTCTTTATTCTCACGACGTTGTTGGTGCTGTCGTTGTTGTTGCTGTCGTTGTTGTTGTTGTTTCTTTATTTGAATTCGCTAAAACCAAACTGACAGAACTGTCCTGTGACAAAGGAGCGAATGATGAGCGTCATAATCACTATGCATCAAAACATCTCAGGGCAAAATGAGACAGACTATGGAGGGTTTGCACAACACTAGTACATAAAGGGGAGTACGAGAACAAAGGCGCGGCAGAAGTCGAAGCAAGAAAGCAATCAACGCCAGAGATGTTTTTGTGCATCAAAACAGAGAGAGAGAGAGAGAGAGAGAGAGAGAGAGAGAAGAGAGAGAAAGAGAGAGAGAGAGAGAGAGAGAGAGAGAGAGAGAGAGAGAGAGAGAGAGAGAGAGAGAGAGAGAGAGAGAGAGAGAGAGAAGAGAGAGAGAGAGAGAGAGAGAGAGAGAGAGAGAGAGAGAGAGAGAGAAGAGAGAGAGAGAGAGAGAGAGAGAGAGAGAGAGAGAGAGAGAGAGAGAGAGAGAGAGAGAGAGAGAGAGAGAGAGAGAAGAGAGAGAGAGAGAGAGAGAGAGAGAGAGAGAGAGAGAGAGAGAGAGAGAGAGAGAGAGAGAGAGAGAGAGAGAGAGAGAGAGAGAGAGAGAGAGAGAGAGAGAGAGAGAGAGAGAGAGAGAGAGAAGAGAGAGAGAGAGAGAGAGAGAGAGAGAGAGAGAGAGAGAGAGAGAGAGAGAGAGAGAGAGAGAGAGAGAGAGAGAGAGAGAGAGAGAGAGAGAGAGAGAGAGGAGAGAGAGAGAGAGAGAGAGAGAGAGAGAGAGGAGAGGAGAGAGAGAGAGAGAGAGAGAGAGAGAGAGAGAGAGAGAAAGAAAGAGAGAGGGAGAGAGACAGAAAGAGTGAGAGTTACACTTATAAAGTCTAACAAATGAGGGCTGAGACCTCTACAACAGGGTTCTACGCCTGAAAACACGAGCACGAATTAACAAGCAAGTTGTCAGAGAAACAGGGAGAGAGACGGGCAGGTAGGCCAACAGACGTGCATCTTAACCTCGCTAATAATCAGTTCGAACATATTCCTGCACTAGTGCGAAGTTGTGGCGGCTCATTGCGAACGCGCGGGCACACACTGCATACTCGCATGTTGGGGGCCAGGGGCTAGTGCGCTTGGTAAGATCTCTACTTTGTCCACGTGGGCATGCCCCTGGAAGTTTCGGTGGAGATAGGAGATCAAGCCTTGTCGAGGAAAGTGCGCAGCCCTAATCTCCTCAGCGCACATGCACTATCTTCGGAAGGTTGCACCAGCCTGCCTCATGGCATTTAAAGCCCGTTAGCTCTCTCATTACATACATATTGGTAGTGGTGGTGTGCTCATTTCTCCCAAGAACTCGCTCACAATCTTCCAGCGATAAACGTACAGCAGGTACTTGCAGATAACAGGCAAATGCCAGGCCTTCTCTCTGTTCAAGCGAATCATTTAGAGAATGAAGTCCCAGGAGAGACAGAAATTGCGCGTGTGTGCTCTACTTTTCCTTTCAAACCGTCTCCCTTTCTGCTTCCAGTCTCGTATCCACCATTAGTCTTGATTGATTTGGGGTGCGGAATTCCCATATTCATCCTGAGGATGAATTGGTGACGTTAACCATCGCATCACCATAATTATAAAATACTACTAGCTAAATGTTTGTCATTTCCCCAGCTTGTCAGTCCAGATCATAACGCCCAGCTGCTGGTTGGTGTGGTACATGCGCTGCAGGTAGCAGCTCAGCGGGTATTCCTGCCATCGACCAGGCACTGAGCTCTGGACTGTGCGGCGGCCGCTGGGTGTTGCAGTGCGTTGCCTCTTACGGTGTCTGCAGACCGAGTCAGTGGCACGCGCTGGCTCTCACTGGGAGAGAGAGACTCAGAGAGAGATCGAGGCAAGGACAAGCAGCAACAGCAGCAGAACCGGCAAGACAGTCACACTGTAATATCAGGCCTTCAATGTCACCGACCCCTGTCGCACTGGTAGGCCGCAGTGCGGATGGATGACTGGAACAAGGTATTAGCTCACGACCAAGCGAAGTATATCTGAAAGGGTTGTGTTACCCTGTCCCCTTTGCTATTTGTATTGCAGGGCAGTAGGATTGAATTCTGCCAGTCTCATCACTCCCATGGCATGCGGCATAATCCCGCTCCAAGTCCCAGACCGCCCATGCACGTGTACGAAGTCGCTAGACCTCCAACACATCAAGCTCAACGGTGACACGCGGAGATCCTGTCATATCGCCGCCCTCCTCCGCCGGCGGTCTATTACAGCGTTCGAAGGTCTTCGGGCTTGCTACTGGGAACACCGTCTTACACATGGCCGGAGTTGGCAGTGCGCACTACAACTAAGTAACAGCTAGTTACTGCCACTACAAGTCTTCCTGAGTGGGTGAATGCGATGGCCATTCTTTCGTGAGTGGCCAAATGCCGATGCAAGTCTGTTCTGGGACCGAAATACCCTCTCCACATCGGCCCAGTCCGGATCGCCGCAGTGAAGTCTGCCTTTCAGCGAATACACTGGTACAAGTAAATGCAGCAAGGCAGCAACGTAACGTCGTAATCTGCACAGCAGTAGATCGCCTCTACTAGCACTCTACTAGCGCTGAGTCCGAGAGCGATCTGGCCGGGAAAGGTGTCCCAGAAAGTACGGTGGGTTCTCAGGACGCGACTAGCAAGCGCAGCCGCGACTCGACTTTCGAGTCGACGCTCTTGAAGAAATTTACATCTCTAGTGGTGCGAGAGTGGTTGTCGATGTGATGTCACCTAGAGATGGAGAGCTCGAGTTGATCAAGTTGGACGCATGCTACGTTGAGTAGTGAAGCCAATCCACACCCGTACCCACCTACCGGCGGTGGCGATAAAAACCCTAAAAACATACTCTTCGCACTGACTGAGCCCGAGGCTCAGGAAGAAGAGAGGAAACGGAGAATACACGTATTGTGCTCGGTGAAGTCTCTATCCACTTTCCAATCTGGGGTTCAGTGCGAGAGTATTGAACGGGGTTCAGTGCGAGAGTATTGAACACAACAGATCAGTTTCCTGACTGCTTGTCAAGTCTAACGCACTGCCCTCCGGCTCACACAGTCATTTCCAACAGTAGCCAATGAAAACTCCGACTGCTGCACATTGCAAGACCTGATCTTTCTTCAGTGCGATGGTAAGTTACTAGGTCAGTCAAAGGTTTCGCTTGGCAAGGTTTACCCGATCCGGACAGTTTATCGTGTCAGTCGCTGATGTCAGCCCGAAGCAGCAAGAAACTGATTCTGTTGGAGCCCTGCATGCGATGGTCCAGCAAGACCACGGTACGTCCCACAGAATCTACCACGCACAGTTTCGACCCCTGGAGTGACAAAGTAACATTGCTTCGGGTACCCGAGGTCGCCCTAACTGATCTGTAGGAGCGAGTTGTGCTTGCAAACGCTGGATGTGTTTGGAAATCCCTACTGTGCAGCGCGGTGCATCTAGCCAGGTTCATCCTAGTGCCTTCTAACTGCGGAATTACGCACCAGACACGCCTGCTGTGCCCGCGTGCACACATAAATCCCCACGGTCAGAATCAGTGGTGACATGGCGAGCCGTGCTTCCTACGACCTAGACGCTGACTTGGCCAGCGTCGCAAGTAAGGTAGGGTTCAGTAGCAGCAGCAGCGGAAACAGCCTGTCAACGCCAGCCTCAGCCTCGTTCCTGGAAGGGTCCGCGGTGTCCGCGTCCTCAGGCTCCGATCAAGCCTTGTACGACACTTCGGTGCACAATGAGAGCGCTATGGACACGGGCAGCGCTGGTGACTCCTTTGCGCCACTCCTATCGCAGCTGTCGCCAGCACACGACGATGAGAACGGGCATCTCTCTTCCCCCGCTCCGGACGCTGACTGGGATGTGTTCGAGTCGGAGCGGACCGCCCCGGGGACGGGGCCTGACGTCTGTGATATCAATCCAATGGATACAACTACTTCGAGTTTCATGGAGCATTCCAATGGTGATTACGTCACTGGAATATCTACTGCAGGAAATGACGATGAAGAGCCGACGGATCACCCACAGGGCTCTGTGCCTGACACGAACCACGATGTCGAGTCGACGCCGACGGCCGTTGGTGGAAAACCAGCGACATCCGCCACTGGTAGTGGCAAGGCCAGCAAAAAATCAGGTCAGAGGAGCGGCCGATCTAGCAGTCGTGACGCTGACGGCCGGAGCAAGTCGCAGCCGCGGCGTGGTGCCTGGGGCGGTAACAAGACGTACGTGCAAGTGATCTCGGAGGCAATCCTGTCCAGCACGCAGAAACGCATCACGCTGAATGAGATCTATGATTACATGATCCGTAATGAGAGCTACTTCAGAGAAAGAAAGGACATTGGCACGTCCGCTGGTTGGAAGGTTAGTTCAACCTTTTCTTTTACTTTATTAGAGAGGTTAAGATGCACATTATTTTCTGACGTGACGCGAAAGTTCAGCTCGCGTTATTTGGCTCGCTTTCGTCGAAAACTCAACGAGCGACCTGAACCTCACGTCGAAATTTGGAGTTTTACCCCAAATTCGACGTGAAATTGCGCGTCACGTCGGAAATAACGTGCATCGTAACCTCTCTATTCCCAAGTTTATCCAACCTGTCGCAACCAGCTAGTACACACATACATGTACCTCGGTTATCCGGACCCCGAAGATACAGGCGCTTCGGTCTACAGACTAGGGCACTCTTTGGGCGAGTTTCAGTGGAAATATTACTACACTGTACTCTTTTGTCAATTCTTGTGGAAATAGTGACGTCGTATGCCATAATTATGGCCTTTCCCCATCAAAATGTAGGTGTAAAGAGAAAATGGACCTTTTACTTTTCTCTTTACATACTACTAGTGGCTCAACATCCGAGTTTTCAAAAATGCATGTGATCCGGAGTTTTTATTATTTTTTATTTTTACAAGATAACCACGAACCATAATGGTACAAACGACATTTCGAAGTTACCGACAGTGCCCGGTCCTCTCTCACTGCCCCGATAAGCGAGGTGTGAGTGTATTAGCCATGACCCGGACACCTATGCACCCATGAGCTGTGCGGGCCTCGAGACCACTGCCTGTTTGTGTTGCCTTCACTATGCATCCATAATTATGTCAGAAGGTTTCGTGGGTTTTGTACACAATAAAGTCTTCAGTGTTGGGCTGTGAAATCCGACCAGTGTAGCTGTCCAGCACTTTAAGCAGCAACTACAGTCCATTCATAAAAAGATGAGCGCTGGCTGCAGCGAGCTCCCTTGTTTGGCGATTTTTCGTGGTTTTATCACACACAGTGCAGTGCCGCGAATTTTGAGGTTAGAAAAAGGGTCCAAAAGCGGTAACTCAACTGGGGTTCGAACCGGACAATGCAATGATGCAAGTGGAGTGAACCGGATTGGATTTTCATGGCCTTTCCCAATTCAGTGCTTACAAGACAAAACCTGGCCGAAATCCTATTCTTGTTTTGGCTTGCTTTGAGGAGAAATGGACTTCAGAAACATAATTGGAAGAGCATTCCATGGGGGACTGGAGAAAAAATTGTTAAAAAACTCAAAATGTGACCCCTCTATTGCCAAAAGCTAGGATACGATCTTTTTCTGAAAGGGCTGTAGGCATTAGGCAACTAGTGCACTTTCTGATTTTATATTGTATCCAGTGACAATAGTTGACAGTTACTCTAACTCTTATCCATCCCTTTGCTTTCTGTCTCGGCCTGTATAATATTATTATGTGTTCGTTGCACTGTTGCACCTACAGAACTCAGTCCGGCACAACCTCTCTCTGCACAAGAAGATCTTCGGGCACATGGATCACGATCAGCCGGGCAAGAGCTTCTACTGGTTCGTACGGCAGAGCGACAAGGTGCGAGCGAGAGCCTTCTACCAGGAGTACATGAACACCAAAGTGTGCAGCTCGGATGGGTTGTCGTCACGGCGGAATTCCGTGATTACATCATTTTAGTGATGTAGTGCGTACAAGCAGGATTCAACCAGGTCTCTTGCTGGACAACTGCAGCTCAGTCGTACGCACTACGCCATTTCCCGCCTCAAATTTGCGCCAAATATGATGTTATCGCGGAATTCCGCCCCGTGACACAGACACCCATAGTGACAGGCCCCAAGCTGCACACTCCGGTTTTCATGTACTCTTGTTTCTGTACTTTACTTAGTGCATACAACTGCAGTCGGGGGCATATCTCCAGCCACCAGTGGTACATCAGCCCTTGGAGGGTAATGCTGGAAAAATTGCCAGATTCTGCTCCAAAAGCAGTGAAATTGGCAGAGCCTGCTGCGAATGCAGGGAAAATTGGCTGAACCATACGAACCTTGTGAAAGGCAATGCCTTGAACTCTGCCTCCATTCCCTTATTCACATGCCAAGCATGCATGGATGAAACGCACCAGAAAAAGTATCAAAATTCTGGCAGTTTTTGCCGGCATTATCCGTCAAGGGCTACAGTCCATGCACTTCCCTGTCCACAGTGATGCAGTCAGACTTGAATGTTGCGTACCTGCAAGGGCCGTGCAAATCTGTACTTTATAACCAGGGCACTGTACAGTAGAACCTGTAACTAAAGACCACTGTGACTAGCGACCAGCCTGGTACTACAGTAAAACCTGTAACTAAAGACCACCGTGACTAGCGACCAGCCTGCTACTACAGTAAAACCTGTAACTAAAGACCACCGTGACTAGCGACCAGCCTGGTACTACAGTAAAACCTGTAACTAAAGACCACCGTGACTAGCGACCAGCCTGGTACTACAGTAAAACGTGTAACTAAAGACCACCGTGACTAGCGACCAGCCTGGTACTACAGACCACTTCTCCAGGCACGGACGGTCTCACATTTACCGGTATGTATGGCTGTGTGGTGAAAACCTCTAACCGAGGACCACCTGCCACTAAAGACCGCTTCCTCTGGCCACACGGGGTGGTCGGTAGTCACAGGTTTTTCTGTATGTCCAAGGTCACATGCCTGCCATAGCATAAAACAGGGTCGTGTCAAAAGAGTACTTCGTCTAATAGTCCATAGTACAAAAAGGGCACATTATCATAAGGCGACCACTCTGATAAGGTGACCACCTGTCGCAGTGGACCACTCTGATAATGCGACCACCTGTCCCAGAGGACCACTCTGATAAGGCGACCACCTGTCGCAGAGGACCATTCTGATAAGGCGACCACCTGTCGCAGAGGACCACTCTGATAAGATGACCACCTGTCGCAGAGGACCACTCTGATAAGGCGACCACCTGTCCCAGATGACCACTCTGATAAGGTGACCACCTGTCGCAGAGAACTACTACAACCAGGACCAGGGGATGGTATTTCCAGTCAAATGACTCTGGATCAGAAAACCACCTGTACACAGGGACCACCATTAACGCCCCCTCCCTACCCCCTACCCCCCCCCCCCTCCCTACCCCCTACCCCCCTACCCCCTACCCCCCTACCCCCCCCCCTACCCCCTACCCCTACCCCCCCCTACCCCCCTACCCCCTACCCCCCTCGCACAGGTTTCACTGTACATGGTCAGGTGGCAGGCTCGAGATGCAGGCACTCTCTGCACAGTTCAGTCATTTTTTAATCCTTGCTTCATTTTTATTTATTTTATTTTTAGAAGTACGAAGCCTCTTGTACGGGCAAAATCAATAACTTGGTCCTATTGGTGTGACTCAGAGCGATTGGTCACATTTTGTATATACAATGTGGGTTTTAACAACAATGCCGCAATATTGCTCAAATCAACAATCCCCTGGTGTACACCCAACAGGCTGTCACTGCTTGAGAAAACACTTCCATTGCTACAAGTAATTGGAAGTCGCAGCTAGAGTGTGAATGTAGACTCAACCCGAACGGTTCTAGTAGGAACTGTCTTCCTTGCTAAAACACGTCTCTGCTTTCAAAATTCTTTCTTTTCTTCAGGATGAAAACGATCTGTTGTCCACTCCTGAAAGTTCACAGACACCCGGTGAGAGTATGAGCACAGACTCCAGCTCAGTGTCAGGTAGTTCGCGTGCGTTGAGCGAATCAGATAGCGCTGTCAGCTCCAAGAAAAGGAAGAGGAAGAAGTGCCCACCGGCCACGACCGGAGGCGAACCTATACGGCGAGGCCGACAGAGGGAGCAGGGCACTGCTGCTGCAGCCACAGATGCTGTGGCTACGTCTCAGCCCTCAGCATCAGCAACAGACACCAAAGCGAGCAGCGCCGGGATCTTCGGTGCTTCAGTCCTGCGCTCCCCTCCACAGAAACAAGCCAATAGGCGGGCGTCTTTGCAATCCCCAAGCGCGGCAGCAGTGCAGCACGACACAGCCAGCACGGAGACAACGGAACATAACTCAGCCGCTCGCAGTTGGCCAATGTGTCCGGGCGCTGATTGTGTGCTGCAAAGTCCAATTGCGGAGCTGAACGATGAGATGGACCTGTCGTGTCAGCTCAACTCAACTGCGTTGCCAAGTGGCCCACAGCAGACGGTGAGCGAGACATCCTCGTTGCCGAGAAATCACTCCGCACCGTGCGGCACAGGCACCGACCCCCTGCACGATGACTTTTTCAACCGCCTGTCGTCGCTAAACTCGCTGGCGATCAGCGAGTCCGAAGTGTTCCTGTCCAGTCCCCGGACGAGCCTGAGCGCTCCCGGTATGGACGGCCCTCTCCACTACACAACCAATACCAGCAGTTACTCAGCCAGCACTGAGCTGGATTGGTCTCAATCAAACCTGCAGCCACCGGAACAAGTCAAGCAGGAGTTCATGCCTGGCGGCTTACAACACTACCAGCAACAAATCCAGCAACAGCAATTGCAGCAAAAACAGCAGCAGCAACAGCAACAACAACAGGTTGGTGTTGTCGGGCAACACTACCACCACCAGCAGCAACAGCAACAACAGCAGCAGCAGCAGCATTTCAATTTCAGCGCCACGTCATGCTACAATTCCTTGCCCACGTCCATGACGGCGTGTTCGCTGTGTTCAACGGACGCATCGCCGTTACAAGATCGCTCACTGCCACTACATCACCAGCAACTGGCAGCCCAGGAGCAGCAGTGGGAACAGCAACAGCAGCAACAGCAGCAACAGCATCAGCTACATGTACGTGCTACACACCAGCAAATGGATATGGCCTCCAGCAGTTGGGCCACACAGCAGCTGCAGCATAGTCAGCAACTGTTGACACAGGGGCAGATCAGCAGCAGCATGGACTCCGGTAAACCTCACAGCACGTACGGCCTGCGAGCGGGGGGTGGGATGGCGAACGCGGGTGATCTGCGGGCGTTCACGACGCAGCAGAGCCGCGGAGCAGGGCAGAGTGGCGGAGTGTACGCAAGCCATGCACCGGATCAGGACTGCGATCTGAGGCCCAAGTCCGGCTTTATCGCCGAGTACCAGGCGTTGGCCACGCCGGAGCAACTGCCACAGCAGCAGAGCAGCTACCCAAGCCCTACGGTCAGGGGTGAACTGTTCGCGCCAGAACCGCTACCGCAAATCTCTCCACAACAGCAGCGGGACGCGCCGATGCACGCTCCGTCAATCCAGCTGCAGCAACACCTCCAGCGCCTTTCACAAGAGCAACAGCGACAGCAGCAGCTACAGCAGCATCAGCAGCTACAGCAACAACAGCACCAGCAACAGCAGCGAGAGCACCAACAAGAACCGTTTAGCAAGCAAGAGCTGCAGTTCTTGCAACTGCAACACCACCAGCAGCAGCAACTGCAGCAACTGCAGGCCACCCATCTTGTTCCCAAGTACCAGCAACCAATAACTGACCGTCACAGTGTGGCTGACGGTCAACCAGGCCAGGAACAGCACAAGCATCCCTTCGCGCACGTCCTATGGCAACGGCAACAACAGCAGCAGCTGGAGCAGCAGCAGAGCCTTGCCCCTGCATTGCAAGCACAGAGCCACAGTCAAGTAGCAAATTACAGTAGCAGTACTACCAGCAGCTCCCATGGTACCTCCGCCGAGCAATACCTACGCGAGTATTGCCGTGGCAACGGGCTGATATCACCTGGCGTCGACCAATCACAGCTTGCACCGCTTTCTCAGATTGAGGCTGTCCCTCCCGTGGAAGATCTTTACTTTGATCACCACCATTTCCAATAGTCCGCTAGCTCCTGCGAAGGTTGTTATGGTTACAGTTTAGACACGTTTCAGAGGACTAGTCATTTCAGTTGGCCGCGACCATGCAGGAAGGATATCATACAATTGTGTAGGCTATGTGTACGCCCTGCTGTCATAGGTGTGTTTGGCTTGGCATCAACGCAAAAAAGCCTACACTCCCCCCCCCCCCCCCCATCCATCCCCTCGTGCTCCGGCGCAAACAAATCCGCACACACACACGCACGCACGCACGCACACACACACACACACACGAACACACACACACGCACATACACACATGTAGACATGCGCACAACTTTGACAGGTTGAGTTTTCATTTGATTATCTAGCCTCGCTTACTGAACCAGATCTCCTGCCTGCAACCTAATAATCAGAGCATAATCATGCAGGCAAGGACCACACATTATGATCAAGAGACCAGTAAAATTCGTTTCCCACTAGCACTCACTTTCTGCAGAGCTTCTTTACGCGGAACATAGAAAGCGGTACGTTCCGTCCCAGCTCGAGTTCCACACAAACGCTAACCCCAGTCAGTTGAAGATTGTTTTCGTTCAAAACACTGCGTTGACAGAAAGCCTCAATCTACATTTTAGTGAACATATTATTTTGTTTTTTTGATGATTACCTGTAGTTTTTATTCTGTATGCTGCAATCTATTGTCTTATTGAGAAACATCACTATCCTGAGCAGTATGTACAAGCTTGGCTGTGCATCACACACAAAACTAGTGCAGCGTGTACATAGTTGGCTTTGGAGCTGAAATGCGAACAAGGAATTCACCTAACCCATGGCATGCAGGGCACCCTGACATGACCCGCTTTAAACGGCAAAGGCAATCATATCCTCTTTACAGTCTAATTTATTGTGACGTAATAAAGAGAGAAACTGGGCTTTATTGTTATCGGCTGCTTATATTATGTAGATGCGATATTTTTTCCTGCTCCAGTTCCGATGTCATGTTATCCTGCTGTGTTTTATCCAGCACTGTGGTATCGATGCTTCCTGCACGCGCATCATTTTGTCTATGCTCCCATTCTCACCACAGTGCTGATGACTCATGATCATCTCCACTACTTGTAGTTCTTGGGTGTAGTGTACCTGGTGTACTGCAATAACTGGCAAGGTTACTAGTATCCGAATTTCCACCACCGACGTGTACATCAGGCGTTCTGTGTGTTAGCGTGTCTGTCTGATCGCATGTCTGTCTGTTGTGAAGGTGTTGGAGAGATGATCGATTGGCTGCAGTAGAGCCTCCGAGTACTGATAAACATACACCGGTGCCTTAGTTGTTTTTAAAACAACAACTTCCTATCAGGTCCATCGTCACTTCCAGCCTTTCAGCGTTCGTACAATTCCCCGTAGCCATGGGAGCGGTATACAATAATACAGTCAGTGCTATTATGCTGCTCAATGAAATCCAATCCGGTCCTGCCCTCTGTACGGGCGTTGCGCAGCCCTACCTGCGAACACTGGGCTGCGAACTGCTGCAACTGCGTAGCAAGGCTCAAACTTGGCGCACGGGACCGGGTTTCATTGAGCAGCACCGGATAACCTGAGCAGCACATCATTGACATTGTACTGTAGTAGCCGTACATGACTTCATCAGACGTAAGTCATTTAAAGGGGAAGTTAAGGCAAAAATCAAAATTTCACCAGTTGTAGTCTTCGGGGTGCTGAGTCGAATGGTCTTGGTCCGAGAAAGCTGGGACGCTCCCTTCCTACTTAAATCCCAATCGAACTCGCGCACTTCCACCGAAACTGGGTGACTGCGCCCTACTAGATGGGGATTTGTATGCAAAATGGTGACTCACTAAAAGCGCCATTTCGTTCTTATAAAAGCACGGATGACCGCGATTGGCCCATATGTTGTACTCTTTTGGACGCTGCGTCGACTGGTCTTGGTCCGAAAAGGCTGCGATGCAGCGTTCCTCCTTTATTCCCAATCGAACATGGTTGAACAAGTGGTCACGTGCTCCTGGGTGCCCAAATCACATGGTCACCACCCCAGCAGGCGACAACTTTCACACCAAGGTTCAACTCGAGTGACAGGAGTGCACCCAAAAAAGGTCAAACAGGCTAGTAAGTTGTACCCTGCAGGCACGGTGACCAGCTGACTGGTGTACGCAGGAGCACGTGACCGCTTGTTCAACCATGTTCGATTGGGAATAAAGGAGGAACGCTGCATCGCAGCCTTTTCGGACCAAAACCAGTCGACTCAGCGTCCAAAAGACTACAACATATGGGCCAATCGCGGTCATCCGTGCTTTTATAAGAACGACATGGCGCTTTTAGTGACATTTTGCATACAAATCCCCATCTCGTAGGGCGCAGTCACCCAGTTTCGGTGGAAGTGCGCGAGTTCGATTGGGATTCAAGTAGGAAGGGAGCGTCTCAGCTTCCTCGGACCACGACCATTCGACTCAGCACCCTGAAGACTACAACTGGTGAAATTTTGATTTTTGCCTTAACTTCCCCTTTAATAATAGTCTGATCACTCAGATCAGACGCAGTCGACAGGGTGTCTTGAAACTAGGGGCGCGTTCGAATTGCCTTCATCAGCTGTTCGAACAAATTCCTAAAAGAGATTAGTGTAGTAGTTGAAGTGTCCCAATAGAACTGTTTTCTATCATTCAAGTTAGAATTTTTCAGTGGAATTGTCATGGCGATAATGACGTCCGCGATCTGATCGACCATCTCGACGCAGCTATTCCAAACTCCTCGGAACTAATCCACCTTTCCCATCGAATGAGGTTGTGGAGTTGGAATTTCAAGGAGACTTTCGTTTTCTGAAGGGGTCAATAAGCCACCTCAGCTCCTCTTCAGAACAACGAAATTCCTCGAAAAGTCAAAGAGTGACAATTCGCGCCCTAAGGCTTTCACGGCTCCCGACCGTAGATCATACACACAGAATCGTGGTCAAGGATGTACGGTTCGTTACGAGTACAGGCAAGTGCCAGACGTTAGCACCTGAGTTGTGCTGCGAAGAACTCCGAAAGTCTTGATAGACTACGACCAGTGCATGAAATGCACTTGCTTATCTGTCGGAGTAAAGAAAAGTAAATCTGTTAGTTCGCACCTGCTGGAGTGGTTGATGAGTATCACACCTACACGATGTGCGATGTATCTTGATTTGGATCCGCGCGAGATTATGCTATGAGAAGGTAATGCAGTAGTTGCTTGCGCTCGTGTCCCGCTCATTTTCTTGACCGTCATTGCGACTCGGACGTACAGTAGAATCCTTTAGCCCTCGCAGTGCTTTCTCGAAGGCGCAGTCTTTCCTTCGAAGCTCGTACCGTGATGCACAGCCAAAGGTTCCTGCATTTTGAGTTTCCAAATGTTTCCACCCGTAGACAGAAAATTTCCTGCATTTTGAGTTTTGAGTTTCTAAATATTTTGACCGGTGAACAGTTTCCAAATGTTTCGACCGGTAGACAATATTATTTGTTTGCGGAGCTCCGTGAAATACTTCGCCTTGTTAGAGTCTACTGTCTCAGCTAGCCCGAGGCACTGACACTTGCCAGCAATCTTCGCTGCACGCTATCCGGCACCCTCGGGCTACACGCTACCAAAGAAGAAGTAAGTTTGAACCGCGAGCTAGTGCGGGCCGGACCACGAAGCTTCCAGCAAGAGCGCTTTTAATTTTGCCAGCGCAACGCTGCGCGGACTTCCGCCACTTGGATAGCAAGTAAGTTAGATAATAACTAGATTACTTTACCCATACAGTCAACTTCGCTTATAACGACACTCGGCGGGGCATCAGAAAAGTGTCGTTATTCGCGAATTGTCGTTATATCCGAAGTCGTTATAAGCGAAGTTCACTGTACCTTCAATGTACACTATTGTTCTTTCGAGAGTTGATGAATGGGAAGAAATTACCGTCCCAAGAAAGAAAATTTCATCACTAGAAGGTTTATGCGTGCTGTTGTTGAATTGCATTTTAAAGTCGCAACACAAACAGGCGATGATGCCTCGTTTTAGGATGTGAGCGACAAAACAAAATGAGGAGGCGAAGGAGCAAACATCAAAGGGTGAAAGAAGCCATCTAAGGTATCTGAGTATGCTACACATAGAGGGGCGGAACCCCTCCCCCCCCCCCTTGTTAGGCCACACGTTTTTATTTCTATGTTTCTCTTCACCTGAAAATCTAAAAACGTATGCGAGAGGTGGAAAAAAATATAAAAATGACCGAAAAATAAAAAAAGTTTATTAGACCTTAGTTCACACTAAAATCCACCAATACACCATGCAAACTAGCATCCATAGTTAGCAACTACTAGTATAAGTATGTGTAGGAGCTTCTGTCACAATCTGTGCATGTGCAGCTAGATAGGGCTTGAAAGTGCTACGTCACAGCATAGCAACAATTTCAAAAATTCAAAAACTGGATCCACTTGGACCCAGTTTTTGTATGGATCCAAGCACATTTCAAGCGGTCTTACCCACAGCACGGTGATGTAGCCAGTGAAACTGACTGATTTGGCTACTGGGGGCGGGGTTACAACTGGTGGCGAAATAAAAGTCACAACTGCATGCGACATGTGTGGGTTGCTATGCACCCACATACTTAGGCAATAGCAAAGTCACACCTTAGTGGATCCAAAAATAGAAATCTGATGTCAACTTACTACTCCCTGGCCGTTTTGACGTCATCACTTTCAAGCCCTATTGCGCACAAAAATGCCGTCCTCGCATCATGTGTCGCACAGGCCAGGCCACATTTATGTACATGTGCAGGAGTGTGCTGGTCTCCACATGCACAGTCAGGGCAGCACAGTTTTTTTTTCTTTTTTTCTTCCAGACTCCTGAATCGTGTGCGCGCGGGTGACGGGAAACATAGAAATAAAAACGTGTGGCCTTATAACCGAATACATGGAGTGTAAATAACTGACGCATTGAATTGTATTTGTCCGACGAGGAAGCTGAGAGGCTTCGTTCGTCTTATATTTCGGAAAATGTTATAGTATATTAGGGAGTTCACCGTAAAAATGAAATCCGTGAAAAGGCGTATCTCCTTCAACGTACCAAGCCAGAGAGAAAGAGAGAGAGAGAGGGCAAATAGAATAATTATTGAAAGGTAGACAGATAGGTCAGCCCTCAGTGACTAGTGATCTTAGAGTTTTTTTCCCCTATGAACACAGCCCTGCTGGGAAACATGTGGATGACAACATAAAACAAGACAAAGGGGTTGCAGGGACGATGTACCGATGTCCCAGAGGCGATAGCCTGCCAAGGGGATCCTGATGCAATAGACAAAAAAGCAGTGAGGAAAGTATATTCTACATAATGAGCAACGATGCAGGGCTAGGGTGTTAAAAAAATGTCCAGGGACACAACACTACAGTCGGCGAGGAGACAAGAAACCTACTACTGTAAATATACAAATTTTCGGCAGCTATTTAATTTCGGCTATATTCGGCACCGACCCAAAAACGCCTAAATTAAAACGCCGACGAAATTTTTCACAGCATCTGTCGCACTATACCATGCCCTCTACCCCACGCCGAAAATAAATCGCCGCCGAAATGTCAAAAACCGTGAAGTGCCGAAATTTTGTATATTTACAGTATCAAGAGTATAAATATAAAATAGAGTTTGTCCGCGGAGTGAGTAAATAGAGACTTAGTCGGAGGGAAATATAATTGATTAGCACATGAAGAGACAAAGCCAGTTGTAAATCTGATGATGCCTTTCATACCACTACTTCTCACATCAGTACATGTATATTGTAATGTGTACGTTTCATCACAATTTTCCCACCAATATGCTGTATAGGAATGGACTCGGATGGAGAGCCAGGGTTTAATTTACACAAAAGAGAAAGGACCAAGGAACTACAAGTTACGCTATACTGTCCACTAACACCACCAGTTACTAAACAATCAGCTCATGCGATAACATTGCACGACACTGACCGACGGTACTGACGTTCTACAACTAACTGGCTAACCCTCCTTATGTTATTTCCGTAACTTAGAACCTTCCAAGTTGGAAGGCTGTTGGAGTGCGCATCCAAAATGTGCTCGAGCTGTTAGCCAGTTAGTTGTAGAACGCCAGTACCGTCGGTCAGTGCCGTGCAATGTTATCGCATGAGCTGATTGTTTAGTAATTGGTGGTGTTAGTGGACAGTATAGCGTAACTTGTAGTTCCTTTGTCCTTTCTCTTTTGTATAAATATGCTTTTTAAATTAACATCACTGTGCTTTCGTCACATTATTGCCAGGTACTGATTTGGGAAGTAATGGTACGAAATTCATCGTCAGATATTCAACTGGCTTCGTCTCTTCATGTGGGAATATAATTATAAGGTAATCTACTCGTGCTATTATAGATAGCAATAGAATTAACGTATTCGTACCACTACACCAGAGGAACAATATGTATCGATTTTAACGTTGTTTCCTGGTGAGTATCTTCAGAAATCTTCATAACAATGAGAGTCGGACTAACAAAGGAAATCATATAAGGAACCATTTAAAGGAAATCTTCACTAGTTTGAGGGATTTAAATAATAGGAAAGGAACATATTACTATGGTTAAGAGTTAAGAGAAGAGTGACTGTCCACCACTGTAACTAGATACTATATACAGTGAGAAAGTGCAACAACTAGACACAGAACTGACAGAGTACTGAGACATTCGACGACCTGACACCTAGCTCCAACATATCTCCGAAGCGCTAACCAGCAGTCTTCCAACTCGGAATGTTCTAGGTTAAGGCAGACCAAAGAGGGGAAGGTAAGCGCAACGAAAATGAGTACAAGCTAAAGTCCCACGGAAACAAAGAATTTGGAGTGTTACTGGACGATGACGAGACCAGTAAGATACTTGACAAAGCGAAACATACGTCGTGTGAAACTACCTGTTTTGTAGTCAACTAGTCCATCACACTGTCATGCATGAGGAGTACTGTAGGAGTTTGGCGGTCGGTTTTGTACAATTCGTTTTCGAAAAGCTTCCAATTTGTACTTATCTTTGATATTTCTGAGCCACCCAAGTTGGGTGGTGTGCTGCTTTGCTGCTTCAAATTGTAGTTGTGCCGCTTTGTCAAATATCGTACTGGTCTCGTCATCGTCCAGTAACAATCGACATTCTTTGTTCCGGTGGGACTGTAGCTTGTACTCATTTTTGTTGCTCGTACCTTCCCCTCTTTGGTCTCTCCTCAACCTAGAACCTTCCAAGTTGGAAGGCTGGTGGTTAGCGCTTCGGAGATATGTTGCAGCTAGGTGTCAGGTCGTCGAATGTCTCAGTACTCTAGGGACCTTTCGCACCACGCGTATGGATACAAAACGAATGCTGATTCGTAGCATTCAAATTCGTAGCAGATGCGAAAGGTCCCTTCTGTCAGGATTGTGCCTAGTGGTTTCACTTTCTGACTGTATAATTATAGTATTTTTTTATAGTATCCAGTTACAGTAGTGGACAATTACTCTGAACTCGTAACCATATGTTCCTGACCATTGTTTCTTCAGACTTTTCCCTTTTCCATTCCCTCAACCTATGAATACCATAAAGTTAATAAAATTTGATATAGAACTGATACGAGATAAACTAATATCCTAATAATAACAACAGTATTGAAGAAGATAGTCACACGATACTGACTTTAAAATCCATCATAACAATTAATATTGTTCCTCTGGTGTAGTGGTATGAATGCGTTCCCTCTATTGCAATCTATCATACATACCCAATGCTGTAGACAGTAAGCTGTTTCGGCCATAAAGGCCTCATCAGTACACCTGCGAGCTTTAGGCAAGCCAAGCTACCAGCCATGGTGCAGAGGAGGCACCACAGACGTTAAGATCGCTCGACGCTCTAGCGCCAGAGTGCTCTAACTAGGAAAAGTAGCAGGCATGGCGTGATGCAGCAGCAGCACTAGAGCAGCAGCACTAGAGCAGCAGCACTAGAGCAGCAGCACTAGAGCAGCAGCACTAGAGCAGCAGCACTAGAGCAGCAGCACTAGAGCAGCAGCACTAGAGCAGCAGCATTAGAGCAGCAGCACTAGAGCAGCCTACCGAGAGTGCTCAACAAGACGAAAGTCGTGGAGCATAATACCCTATCTATCACAGATCTAACACAACTGTCAAATTTATACGTTCTCATGTCCAAGCCGCGAAATCACTGCTGAAATTTGTAAAGTGAATCTTGGGATACCAGCCTTGGCGGAAGGCAGTTCCGCAGCTTACCGATTTTATGCAGAAAGAGAGAAGAAGACAGCAGATTGCAGTCAGATTCCTCATCCGGCACCTTGCTGCCACTTGAAACGTCTTCCTCTCCTCTCCATTGTTGTCGAACAACATCATTGTATACGAAAGGGGGAAAGAGGTCGGAATCCCAAAATCCTGCTATGGAAGCAATTTAATATGTGTGCCATGCCGGATTCTGCTTATCGGTGGCGCGTGTTTGAGATTCAGGTCACGTCTTGCTGTCAATCTCGCCACTGGTCTCAGCAATGCTATCATGGTCTTCTCTGTGCCATTATACCTGGTGATGCCGTCCTGGGTGCACATTTGGAAACAATCGCTGTACGTGCGGTACTAGTAGCCCAGGACTGTTCATGTGCTACAGATCGGAGGCCAGTCAAGTGAAACACAGTATATACATCAGGGCATGGGAAACACGGGCCTTGCTGTTTTCCATTATGTCTATTAATAGTTTTATCATTTATGGCGATAGTGAGCTGTGGCTGTTGTCCTGGGAGCCTTGCCTGTGTGCTGCGGCCTTTGTCTTCTACCCTGGCTGGTATTGCTTTGCGGGTAACTCCACCGCCCCGCCCTGGCATATTGTTGTATTTCAATCTGGAAACAGCCTCTCCAACCTGGCTACCAGCTAGTATAGACAACGGAATTTTCCGGTGGCTGAGCCATTTCGAAGCTTCTCTACCTAGAAGCTGATGCTACAGGTGGGGAGTATGAGATTGTGTAAAAAACAGTTTGGAGCAAGGCACCGGTTAAGCTTTTCAGCCAAGGCAATTGTTTTATGTTCTCTGCTGGACTGTGCACTTCAGAAGACAGAATCAAGAGAAAGACATGACAATACTGCCGAAGCAGCGTGATGAGTTGCGCCTACCTCCCCGCGACCATGGGTCTCGGGACACAAAACGCACTATAGACTGGACCGGCGAGTTCCCATTCAGTTTGCGACTACAGCGCTGATCTCATCGACCGACAAATACATCATACAGTCAGACCTCGCTTATCCGGTCCTCGTTTATCCGGATCCCTCGCCATCCGGAAGAAAATCGCTGGTTACCGATGTGCATCATACGTTACGCATACAACATAACCGAACCTCGCGATCCGCATACCGGTGCATGATTTTGTGTACAAACTGGTCGAAATAATGTACAAAAAGCTTCGTTGCATCCGGTTGCACGTGGCTTGCGGAAGCTAGAATCAGGGAGTTGTGAGGCCCTTGACCTGCTGCATGCATGTGGATAGCACTCAGTTGAATGTACTTCGAAGTACTTGTCACTTTTCTCGCTTGTTTTACATTATTGTGCACGCTAGTTGTTCTGCATAGGACCCAGAGTCATGTACATGTATGTACGATGCTACCCATTTAGATGTGCCACATGCATGTACAGTATGTGTGTTCAGTTATCCGGCTCCCTTGCCTATCGGGATATTTTTGTGGAAAACGGATGTGTGCGGTTAAGCGAGGTCCGACTGTACTCTGTCTATTTCTGTCTAACTATCACTCTGGAAATCTCATGTAATAAGGCAACACTGCCTGTTTGTTATTCGACATTTAATATACCAATCCAAATCCAAGTAATTGAGGAGGAGGCAGGAGGATGACCTGTAAAACTGGCTATAAAAAAAGTAAATTGCTACGGGCAGATATCTGCCACTGGACGCGTGCTGTCGTCCGAAGACCGGAGGAATGTGTCTGTGAAAAAATCTGCGGGACTCAATTGCAGCGGATTAAAGAGGCATGGGAAGAGCAAAAAGCACGTTCTTCAGCAGGGTAGAATAATATTATAGCACAAATAAACATGACCCAGTGGCTTCTACCAGAGAAGGCAGTAGGATACTGAGGCAGGACTGTAACTAAGTCTTTGCCTTGATTGGAATGTTTGCATGACTGTTCTCAACAGTGACTCGTACAGAGAATGAGTCGAGGCATTGTTCCGCAGGAGATCAAGCGACGGGCTCAGTTTTGATGTTAACATCTGTATGGCTGCTAACGAGGTCCTGATCTCCTCCGTCAGCGATGCGCAGTCACGCATCTGCACGCTGTACAGGAGAGCGAGGTGACCAGCGCTTTGCAGAGCCGTGACAGCTATGGTGTTGAATTGTTGCATGCCGAGCTGGACAGCTCTCTGGCCCGGGCCCATCGTGAGTGGCTGTGTGAGCGGACTTAGTCACGACTGGTGGCTGCTTGACCGCTTGGAACGCAACGCACAGGAGAACGATTCCGGCCAGAAGTCACTATCGATAGCATGGATTCCTGTCGAGGACACCGACAGCCAAGCCCAGCGTGATGCCGAGAAGCGGGGAGACTGCACGCTGCGAGTGACAGCACCGAACTGGCTGTCGAATTGGAGGTCGATGCATGCCGCCGACGCTGACGCTACTGCTAGGATTTGCATTGCCTGGGTAGAACGCAGAAGGACGGCGGCGGTGTCATGATGACTTGTAGCGCTGCACTGCTGATCCATTTGAAGGGTGGTGACAATGCCGTTCGCACCGACGACCTACACAGTGGACCGAGCACAATGCTGCTGAGACGAAGGAGCATGCATGACTGGAACGACCCGGTGCGACGATAGCATCGAGTCTGCTCAGGGACGAGGAATGGCAATGCATGCACATCTTTCACTCACTGATGCTCCATGGACGGTGCGACAATAGCATGGAGTTTGCTCAGGTGTGAAGCATGGCAATGGACGTCTTTCAGCCATCACACTGCATAGACGGGGAGACAATAAGCATTGAGGCACGGCAATGCACATTTTGCACCCATCACACTGCATAGACGGAGAGACACCTGCTGTCGTGGCGACGCCGAGAACAGCACAACGGCACCCCCTTGGTTATGCTGAGATCAGTCGCTCGCCGATGAGCTGTCGTCGCCGACGACTGAGAAAGCTGCTCATGCCGTCGTCTTCGTCGATGTCTTTCTGGCCGCGGCACTCAACGATGAGCAGAGCGATGACAAAGATGTGGAAGACGACGATGAAGAGGATAAGACCGAGCCAGACGACACCCTTCTGATACTTGAGGTAACGAAGCGACGGTATCGGCCGATGAACTGTGCACGTGTGTAAGCAAGGACACACACATGCACGCATGTACACGCACACACACGCACACCCACACAAACACACGTGAGTGCACACATACAGCAAAACAAATCAATGAGACACTGCAGCAATGACTCGCTGTTCACATGCTCTACTTTATGTGCACAACTATGAATTTGAAATGCCTACACCCAAGGCTAACAACCAGCTCTCTCTCTCACACCATAAAGGATTTCCGGCTTCTTTTTCAACACAATTCCTTTGAAAACATGCTAGATCATCCTAGTCTATGGTTCTCTCTCCCCATTTTCTTCAACACTAAAATCAGCAGGTATTAGATTAGCGGTCTATGGTTCTCTCTCCCCATTTTCTTCAACACTAAAATCAGCAGGTATTAGATTAGCTGTCTATGGTTCTCTCTCCCCATTTTCTTCAACACTAAAATCAACAGGTATTAGATCTATGGTTCTCTCTCCTCATTTTCTTCAACACTAAAATCAACAGGTATTAGATTAGCGGTCTATGGTTCTCACTCCCCATTTTCTTCAACACTAAAATCAACAGGTATTAGATTAGCAGGTGCACAAGCCCAGATTCTTTTCCACCTGTTTTCCATTTCAGTTGTTTAATTTAGGCATGCGTTGCTTTCCCCGTGTCCTTTTCTTGTGTGTGTGTGTGTGTGTGTGTGTGTGTGTGTGTGTGTGTGTGTGTGTATGTGTGTGTTAGGGTCACACGTAATGCCCTGAGATATTTATAAACTACTGGTGTGAAGCTTAGTGCAAGCTTTAGCGCTGAAATTCACACCATTCAAAAAATATTTTCGAAATTATTAGAATTTTCGTGCTAAATGTTGCACCCTCAAGGTGTGAAGTTCAGCGCAAGTTTTAGCGCTAAAACTTGCACCATCAATTCATTTCCATGAATTTTCGTGCTAAATGTCGCACCTTATGGTGTGAAGCTTAGTGCAAGCTGTAGCACTGAAATTCACACCATTTGAATTTTTTTTTGAAATTATTAGAATTTTCGTGCTAAATGTTGCACCCTCATGGTGTGATGAAGTTCAGCGCAAGTTTTAGCGCTAAAACTCGCACCATCAACGAATTTTAGTGCTAAATGTCGCACCTTATGGTGTGAATTTTAGCACTCTTCATATTCAATTGAATTTCAGCGCTAAATGTTTGTTATGTTTACAAGGTGTGATTGCAGCCTGGGATTTACAAATTCAAACTATCCTAGCATGCACTATTCTTCTGCATAGATCAGGTCGGCGCCGTATTGGCGAGATCATACAGGTGACAGTATTGCAGGAGAATGCAGGAGAATGCACAGTAAGATGCCATGCAGGACTCAATCACAGGACTGGTTTACAGTTCAATGAGAAAGATAACAGCACGAGATAGTGGTACAGTCAGACCTCGCTTATTCGGTCCTCTTTTATCCGGATCCCTCGCCATCCGGAAGAAAATAGCTGGTTACAGACGTACAGCATACGTGATGCATCCAACAAACCGGCGTTCGATTATCCGGTTCCCTCGCCTATCCGGATATTTTTTGTGGAAAACGGATGTGTGCGGTTTTTAGGCGAGGTCTGACTGTAGTAACAGTGTACCACAAAGTACCACTCGTTGCCCCAGGTACCTCGTGAATCAGGAAAATGAACCGACCCCCCCCCCCCCCCTCTCTCTCTGTGTGACTAAACTGTTGTTTTTTTTCAGATCGCTGACCGCACCACTTTGAAATTCCTTCCGAAGTCTGTAGACGGATACAAAACAATTTCAGGTGTCCAGGCGCAACACTATCTTTTGCTTCTGGTTGGCCATCGCACATTCCACACACACTGCAGTTGCACGAACGCTGATCTTACTGATGAGAAGCGCGGCAAGTTGTGAATATGAAAGGTTGTGCCAGAGCTCAAGCAAACAGACTTATTTTTCATGGTTTGGGCAAGACTGAGTTAGAATTTTTTCAGCATGCGCAGGATCAAGCAAATGAGCCATTGCGCATTGCCAAATGTATGTATGAGTAATGCATGTGAGTACGCTGGGATCACAAACCTGCAACATGAGCCTGCTCAATGTGTGCGAAGTTCTGGCGTAAAAGTAACAAGTCCTGCTCCGCTGTGGAGATATACAATATCGGTGTGGGCGGGTTGGTGACGATGACTGGTAGAACTGTCTCGTGCGAGCTAAACAACGGGAAAAATGACACAAACACACACACACACGCACGCATGCACACGCACAGACACAGACATACACAAACACACATCAATATTTTGCCCCAGAATTTTGTTGCTCATCGTCGATATTTTGCTTTCATATTGCCAGCCCACTCGATATTTTGCTCTCTTTTTACTCCAAAGTGAGGGCAAATTTGTGTCACGTGTGGGGTGACAGAAAGTGGGTCACATGTTGGCAACAAAAAATGAGAAAAAGTGAGTCACGTGTTGGTAAAGTGTGCGAAAATGAGTCACGTGCACCGTTTGAGTGTAAAATCTCCCAATCGGCAGCGAACATACCGATATTTTGCTCCATTTTGCCAGCAAATTCTCTTATCAAAATTATATTTCGCTGGCAGAATTGCTAGCAAAATCGGGCAATGTCTAGTACTAGTTCTACACATCAGCACTTATTTGAGTGCTCTTAGTCACATGACTGGTCTACAGTGTCGACTATCCACTCGTTCCGGTGTGTGAGGAGTATGCACTCAGTGTTGCAATAGAAGGATCCACGAGCGGGATTCGAACCCAGCACCCCGTCTTTCCGGGACAGTGCCCTACCGATTAGGCTACCGGGGATCACACACACTCATGGGTCCTTCTTGCTACACTGCTCCCCCGCCCCAACAGGCTGTGTCCTCACGCCGTACCTACTCGCGGGGGGTACGATGGGTCGTTCTTTTGCAACATTGGCGCCTGGCAATGGCTCGAACCCACGACCCATCGTACCCCGCTCGTAGGTACGGCGTGAGGACACAGCCTGTTGGGGCGGGGGAGCAGTGTAGCAAGAAGGACCCATGAGTGTGTGTGATCCCCGGTAGCCTAATCGGTAGGGCACTGTCCCGGAAAGACGGGGTGCTGGGTTCGAATCCCGCTCGTGAATCCTTCTTTTGCAACATCAGCAGATTCAGCACTTACTCAAGCACTCACTCACATGACTACTCAGTCACATGACTACTCGGTCACATGACGACTCAGTCACATGACTACTCAGTCACATGACTAATCAGTCACATGACTACTCACTCACATGACTACTGTAAAGTGTGAAATTTTCGCAGTGTTTTTAGTTCGCGTTTTCAGAATCCGGACAGGTTTGCGAGGTTTTAATTTTGCGATTGCAGAATGGCATTCTTGCTAAACCTTTCATGGATCTCCTTTTCGCGCTGTCTAAATTTCGCGATTTCCACGCGGTCGCGAATTTCACAGAAATTAGACCATGGCAATAATTTCACGGTTTACAGTACTCAGTCACATGACTAAGGCCTCGGTCACACTACGGCAAGTTTGAAGCTGGACGCAGCGTCAAGACGCAGCACTTGACGCAGACGCGGGGTCACACAGTGTTTTGTTTTTCTTGCAGCTCATGACTGCGGCGGCCTGGCGCATTTGTCTACGTCACAAAATCACCAGGGAAACTCAATGACGACACGGATTCCCTGCTTATTATACAAAAAAATTGTCGGACAAAGTTTTCAAATTTTTCATTGATTTTTGATTACAAGAAGACGAAAGGTCCACACGTGCACGATCGTTGTTGTTTCTTTCCGAATTTGAAGCCATTTTCAGTTGTAGTGTCATGGATCAGGCAAGAAAAGTCCGCATCGCAGCTGTGTTTCTCCTGACTTCGTCATACTGGTTGTCCTTTTTGGGGCTCTTGACAACAACACAACACTCACAAGTCAACAGGCTCCAGTTGGCCGATGACCCACTCAAACAACTGGTCCTTTCTCGACTTTATTTTCTTCTCAGAAAACGCCTCGCTCTTCCGCCAGGTTCGGAGCAGAGCAGCATCGGCCTCGTAGGTCCACGGACTCATCTCGAAAAAAAGAGGAAACAAAACAAACCTTAAAGAGACGAATGTCGAATGACTGCTCAACTCGAGCAACTGTCTTGAAACTAATTTTACTTGAAAGACACTGTTTTTCCGCCAAGCATCACTCCCATCAGCGGCAACGCAGCCGATTTCCTGCGTCTGACGCTCAAACTTGCCGCGTTTGCATCAGTTGCCATGGAAAAGCTCATGATTCTGACGCTGACGCAGCATTTTTGCCGTAGTGTGACCGAGGCCTAATCAGTCACATGACTACTCAGTCACATGACTACTCAGTCACATGACTACCCTGTCACATGAATACCCTGTCACATGACTACGCAGTTACATGACTGGTCTACTGTGTGGACAATGCACTCGTTCAACACATCAGCACTTACTTGAGCACGTGCGGAGAGCCCCCGCAGCGACTGGGGCATGCGTACAGCACGGGCGACTTGGAGAACGTCCGGCTTGACACGGACGCACCTATGGGCACAGATAAGATAGAAGAGCAGAGGAGAGTGATTCTCCACAACAACCTCACTCACATGGTCACAGTACGGCCGACGTGAATATAATTCCAACAAGCGTGATACCGGGAGGAAGCAGTTCACATATTGCAAGCGATGTGCAAGCACTGGTAGAGTTCCGCCTGGGGATTTCGTGAATTGATTCACGTTACGTGTGACAAACACTCTGGTTTTTGTACTCTTCGTTTCAGGCTGCTTACAGGTAACATCTTTTTTAAATGCGACTTTCTCTCACAGCCCTTTTGTCGGCTGGGGTTAACATACAGAGACAAGTCTGCTGCTGATCGAGTTACATACCGGGTAAAAACGCCCGCCCATCGCTGGCTGAAACGGCATGGTGATGGCGTTTTGGGCCGGTGCTGAATATAGCGGAAACTAAATAGCTGCCGAAATTTTGTACATTTACAGTACAGAGAAAGACACCAAGACTGCTGCTGGTCGAGTTACTGTAATTTCCGGAGTAGAAGCTGCCCTTTGAACACTCAAAATTCACCCCAAAAAAGGAGGGTGCGGCTTAAACTCCGACGATCAAATTAACGGTGATAAATAGGATAGTCTGTATTTCGGGGCAAACAAAATGGGAGGTGCGGCTTATACTCCGAAAAATACGCCACATACCAGGTACAAACGCCAGCCCATCGTTGGCCGAGATGGCCAGGCGCGTCAGGCCGCCGGTGAAGGACGTATGCATTGCCATGGTGATGGCGTGCCGGTCGTACTTGACGTTGTGCAGCACGGTGTCGGCCATGACGTTGGCCGGGTTCAAGGCCAGCTCCAGGTGGTGGCTGGCGTGACGCACGGTGGCGAAGCTTAACACGATGGCTTGGCTCGTCAGCTCGGCACCTGGGCAAGCAGCACAATACAGAGAACAGAGAACAAGCGGAGGCACGTCGACATGACTGCAGAACGGCTAAGTTAGTTTAGCCGGTTTTCATTGCTATCAGGTTCGGCCTCATTTCCTCTGTGCTGCGCTCATGAGTTCACAAAGAACGAAACAGCATGCTATCCACAGATTGAGTCATTTTACAGTCCATTCAAAAAAAAGATGAGCGCTGGCTGTCGCGAGCTCCTGCATTTGGTGATTTTTCGTGGTTTTATCGCACACAGTGCAGTGCTGCGAAATTTGAGGTCAGAAAAAGGGTCCAAAAAAGGTACCTCAACTGGGGTTCCAACCGGACAATGCAGTGATCCAAATGGAGTGAAACGGATTGGATTTTCATGGCCTTTCCCAATTCAGTGCTTACAAGACAAAACCTGGCCGAAATCCTATTCTTGTTATGGCTTGCTTTTCGGAGAAATGGACTTCGGAAACATAATTGGAAGAGCATTCCACGGGGACTGCAGGAAAAATTTCTGAAAATGTGACCCCTTTATGGCCAAAAGCTAGAATATCATCAATGGACTGTAGCCGGTACATATTTAGTGTTTTCTGAATTCTCAGGACCCATTCGTGATGAAATACTTCAGCGAACCGAGTTGCAGGGTTTAAAAAAAAAAAAAGATGGCGTGAACTGCACTGTACATGCAAAGTCTTGTTTGGCGCGGAAAAACTTTAGCAAAAACATTCCTTTCGCTAAAATATCACCGGCGCAAAATTAGCCATTTTTACAGATAGCACATGTAACCCAGAGCGTGCAGCTCTGATGGGTTGCTGTCACGGCGGAATTCCCTGATCACATCATTGTGTGCATACAAGCAGGATTCAAGCAGGTCTCCTGCTGCACAACTGCAGCTCCATCGTTCGCACTACGCCACTCCCCGCCGCATATCTGCACCCACTATGATGTAATACTGTAATTTCACAAATTTTCGGTACTTTCGGTGCATCTGTTTCATACCTAAAATTGCAATACACCGAACAAACCCTAACACACATCATCCAATAGGGAACTGCTTCTTTGCACCTAAAATTTCTGTTCACCTAACCTGGCCTTTTTGCCCTCATACCGAAAATATTGAGATCCGAAAAATTTCTGAAATTAGAGTAATCTCGGAATTTGGGAGTGGCACACACGTATGCAGACAAGTCAGAAGCTGCAAACTCTGGTGTTTCATGTACTCTTGACGACAACTATGGCTCTGAGGCTAGCTGTAAGCAGCTCTCCAGCGTCTTTGTTTTCCGACTACCCTACCTGCTCCTGCTCGTCAGTGATTGTTTCATTGGCACATCATGGTGCACCGTAGAACAAGGGTACTGGTCAGAAACGGATACTGTACGACATGTATATATAACGAGGAAGCAAATCTAACGTTTTAACGGATAACATTTCTTCGTTGAGGATGTAATGCTTCACATATGTTGTGACAATCGGTAAATTTGCAATTCGTTATACTAACATGTCTTACAGTACGGATTTTTATTGGTGAGTGTGTCCACAAGAAGTCGCCGAAGTCGCTACCACTATTTCGAAACTCACCTCCTTCTACAAAGTGTCGGCAGCCGTTCTTGATGAGAGTGGTACGCCAGTTCTGTATCAGCTCATTGACAGCTGTTATAGAGCTGGGAGGTAGCCACAGAACTGCTGTGTGCCTGCAGACAGCAACACACACACACAGAGGAACTCTGGTAAGACGCACGGGTGTAGCTTGCACATCTGTGGTGTGGTGATCTGCTCCTGACAAGCCCCTTGTTTCGTTCCATTATGATGACGGGAACTCATCAGAAATATCAACCAGTACTATCAAGAGTACATAACCCCCAAGAGTGTGCAACTCCAGCTATGGGGTCTGCGACGGAAGAACTTCACATCACGTGATGAACCCGTACACATTATTTGCACTCTGTGCATGATAGATACAGGGTTGTACGCAACCCAGATTTGGGTACAGCTCTCTTGTGGTCACTTTGCACTGTTTGCAAGCATAACCTTTTGAACCATGTCACGTGATGTGAAGTTCTGCCGTCGCAGCACAGCATAGAGGTTGTGCAGGCAGTTGCACACTCTTGGGGTTATGTACTCTTGGTACTATTGATTGCCGGACCTAATGAAGGTGGCATCAGCAAAGAGTGCTCAATGCTGAAAGACAGGGCTATGACTTGTGTTACAGGAGTCGCACAGTGAAATCAAACACATTTTCAAGACCTTTTCCAGACTTTTTCCAGACTATTTTTCAAAGCTCCAGACCACACGAAGTAGCAAATTCAATGTGTGTAGTGTAGGACTTACATAGTCGGTGGTCCGCTGAAGCAGTGCAGGCGCTCGGTGTCGTTGAGATCGCGGTGCAGGTGATCGCGGTGACGGAAGTGCGACTGGTCGCTGGCCCGGAACGACGGGGTGCTCAGCAGGACGTAGTACATGGCGGCGGAGATGTCCTCGTTGCCCGGCGTGTTAGGATGCGCCAGGCCAATGATGGAGATATGGCTAGACCAGAGCTGCAGAACACCATGAACACGGCAGAAGATTCGCAATGACACAATACCTAGCGTTAGCCATATAATCTTACGCAAGGTCATTCACAAACAATGGTGATTATTAATGCACACACCAGCTTGTGTAGTATCCCTGCCTTGCTTCATTGTAGCGTATCCCCGTGTTAGCGTATCCCCGTACGTTAGCGTATGTGGTCTGTTGCCTATAAAAGCTGCTGCGCATTTCTGTTTCCAATAATTATTAATATGGAATATGGAATATGTTTCCATATATTAATTTTTACTAGATAATAATCCAGGTGTGTACCTGAGGAAGAATAAAAAGTTAATTAGAGTTTTAAGCACCATGCCTCCACTCGGCTACCTATTACACTTGTACTTCAGAAGTACTCTGCTGCTCCATGCCGGGCGCTGCGCATGCAAACACCCAGATGCGAACTGGCACTTGATTCACGTGATTGCATTTCACTGAGCAGCAGTGCACTTCTCACGAGGATTCTCGTACAGGCACACACACGTGCGCACAAACACACACCATTAACCATTGGACGCCCATCGCCAGAGGCGATGATAGCGATGCTACAGCAGAAGCCATAGCAACTTGTGCTGGGATTGCACCATTCAACAGCTTGCAAGGCTGAAGAATTGACCGCCACTATTCAGCCTGGTCTACACCACACAGCTTTGAAGTGGCTTTTTTCTGGCCAGTGAATCCCTACTCCCTACGGTTGCACCCTGGCACCGAAAAAACTTGCTTAGATATGAACCACTTTTCGAAACGTCTGTCATGTTTCAGCACAAAGAAAATGCTTAAAACCTAGGTGAGCAAGTTTTAGAGGTACTGGCGTATGCCGCAACCAGCCAACTATTTAGCAATCACGTCGTCCAACCAAGCAAAGATTGAATTCTATATATAAAAAATAATGTAGCCTTGCATTATCTGCAGAACGTAACGTCGAAGCTCACGACTTGTATGACTCTCCCGCTTACCTCACTCCATGCCATACGGTGGCTGCGTAGCAACACATCGGACTTCGACCTAAATACAATGCTGTTCAGACGCTGTAATGTGCCAAGTTGAACAAGCATAGGCACGCATGCACACACACACATGCACACACACATGCACACACACATGCACACACACAGACACAGACAGACACACACACACACACACACCTCAGACCTCAGACATGCCCATCGCGGAAGCGATGATAGCAAACAGCTATGTTAGACATAGCAACTTGTGCTAGGATTACATCATTCAACAGCTTGCAAGGCTGATGAATTGACCGCCACTATTTTAACCTGGTATCCACCACACAGCTATTTGAAGTGACTTTTTCTGGCCAGTGAATCCCTATTTTTCATTTTTCCATTTTTTTCCACACACACCACACCACACACACACACAGACACACACACACACAGTCACACACACACAGACACACACATGCACGCACAGACACACACACACACGCACAGAGGCATCCAGCACAGACACAACACAACATGGAACACTTTCACATCAGCAAGCCAACAGGGCAGCACAGAGAATGCTCAGTGTCGATTACAATTAGCCCTGAACGCTTTCCACTCCAATACGCCAAACAACTCTACAGGTATTGTTAGCAAACACCTCTGACAACGTACCGTAGACGCCTTCTTGGCCAGGGAGTGTGTTGCGTAAACTATCTCCTTGGCGTTAGCTGCATGCTTCATAACAACGGTGACAAGCTCCGCCAGTTCAGCCCTGAACATCACATGTGACAGCATGCAGCACGACAAATAAGCGGGAAGAGAAAAAGACAACTACGGGAGCATCAGAAATACAGTAAAACCTGTCAAGGCGACCACTCGGATAAGGCGACCACCTGTCCTAGAAGACCACTGAATCCAGGACCAAGGGGTGCTATTTCCAGTCAAATGAACCTGGATAAGGAGACCACCTGGCAATAGAGACCACATTTTGAAGGTCCCTTGAGCGGTCGTCTTAGACAGGTTTCACTGTAACCAGAGAGCAGCAAGCAGGGAAGAAACACACAGACCAGTAGTAGTAGCAGCAGAAACAGAAACAGCAACAGCAGCAGCAGCAGCACGGGAAGTGCAAGACGCTGCCGTGATAGTAGTGGCAGGAACGATCACACTAGCACCACTATCAGGGGCAACAGCAGCAGCAAGTGTGGCATCACCAGCATTGGAAGCAGCAGTATCAGCAGCCGCAGTAGCAACAGCCGCAACAGCCGCAGTAGCAACAGCCGCAACAGCCACAGCAGCATCATCATTATCATCATCATCATCAGCAGCAGCAGCAGCAGCAGCAACAGGGGCAGTAACAACAGCAGCCCCGCTAAGACCAACACTGAACAGGAAACGGCAACTCCCTCTGACTTTTGACTGGACTGGAGGGTGAGGCTCGGTGGCTGTGCTTCAGCCAGCAACTACTAGTGCATTACATTGAAGGAGCATAATGGGTTTCAAATTGCAGGTGCTGCTGTAAGGAGTTAGACCACCACGTTGCCCACTCTCGATTTGCATGTAATGTTGCAAGCGAGTGGTTGCGCAGGTATGCACGTGCACGCAAACACCCACCCACCCACACACTCACCCACCCACACACGCATGCACACACACACAAACACACGCGCGCACACACACACACACGCATACACACACACACACGCATACACACACACACACACACATACACCCCCCCCCCCCCCTCCACACATACAGACTTGGCAGCATACGTACGTTCCGGACGGCTGAATGACGACTTCAGTGCGCGCAGGTTGAACACTGGTGATGGCAACATGCTCCAGGTCCTTGAGTTGTGCAGCGTCTGCCTCTGATTGGTGCAAACGTGCTGTCGCTATCACATAGCTGTCACTGTCACCTGTACGGTAGTCCTTCTCGGTGAAGCTGCATAGAGGTGACCAAGACACACACACACACACACACACACACACACACGCACGCACACGCGCACGCACACGCGCACGCACACACACACACACACACACACACACACACAATCAAATCACCACATTCATGCACAGTAAAACCTGTAACTATAGACCACCGTGACTAGCGACCAGCCTGGTACTACAGACCACTTTGCCAGGCACGGACGATCTCACATTCATATATGGTTGTGCCGTGCAAACCTCTAACTAAAGACCACCTGCCACTAAAGACCGCTTTTTCTGGCCCCAAGGGGTGGCCGTTAGTCACAGGTTTTACTGTGCATAAAACAATTGGGGTCTGTGTACTCTTGTCATGGCTAGAGATATGCTGCACATAAGAGAACCTTCACGCACAAGGGCATGCTTGTATACAAACAGACATGCAGATGTCCCAGGGAAGGCAAAAGTGCACACAACATCCCTCTCATATGAGTTCTTATGACTGCCAAGAGTACATGAGTGAGCAACTCCTACGGGTGGGTGTCACGGAGAACACCCATGCACATGTACAAACACACACAGACACGTACATACACACACATCTGTACCTGCTCATTGCCATAAAATAGCCACATACTTCTCTACAACAGAGGGGAGAGAAAGAGATTCAAAAGGAATCTAGGAAAAGACGAATCAGTTGGCTATTGAACCGCCCAACACCGAATGCACGCACGAACGTGCGCGTGTACGTACACACACACGCGCTCGCACATCACACACACAGACACACACACACACACATACCTTTTCGTCTGGATCTCCGAACCCGGCCAGGGCAAAGAATCAGCGGAGTGCAAGGAAACTTTCAAAAACGTACTCTGTGTTGTCACAATAGTGAATAAACACAACAATCGCACCCAAACATTGTTGTTCATTATATCCAGAGTCGACTACTGTACATAGAATAGAAGTGGAGCGAGGCTAGTCCGTTGCAACTCTGAGTTTCATGTTCAGCACAACTCTACAGTTGCGGTCGGTGAAATCCGACCCGGAGTGCACATTCGGCGCCCTCAACTAGCACGGCCCTTGATGCCCTGGAAGTGGCACAAATGCGGCTCGACGTACACAAACACAATGATGTAATCTGAACTGGTCCAAGGTGCCAGCTTTGCACTTTTGGTCGGAATTCACCTAGCAGAACTGCAGTACGATGGCGGTGGCAAATGAAAGTCAACCCCACGAGTAGAGCAGAGGAGTCGTACACAGCACAGTCCACTGTTCACCGTGCTTGGGTTGTGCAGTCGCGGGACTGGTTACGAGTCGTATATTCGCGGGCGCCTGGATTTCACTTCCCAGCAATGTACATGCCATCATGCTTAAAGCCGGTCACAGCATTAGGGAGCGGAGTGAAGCCAACCCAGCTAGTACACTGGTAGAATTTAATAGAATCAGGTCCGGTTGGTCAGGCCATAGCCGGAGCAGCTTTTTGCCCACCGACTTGTGTTTGCTGCTAGTTTGGTCATGGGTTGCCACCATCATACACAAAGTATGACAGGCTTGGGTATGGCCGGACCAATCAAAAACTCATTCCGCCGGTCCTGACTGAATAGCAAGGCAACAGGCGTTGGTCAAGTTGATTTCTTTTGTTAGGTACCTCCTCCCGTACGTTCTACAACCTTTTTCCAAGCTGGCCTGCATGCACCCTCGTACTCACCTTTTGTTCCGTTGGCCTGGGTAGCTACTTGCGTGCCCATATTTGCCATGGCTAGCCAGGCCCTTTATCTTGCCGCCCTCACTCGATCTCTCTCTCTTCCATAATGTAGTCGTTTCGTTCGTCTTTGTCTCCATCTCTTCGTCTGTAATAAAATTAATGTCGTTACACCTACCTGTTCCCGTTGTCCGTTGTGTATCGGGAGTAGCACCTTTATCGTACCCAACATTTTCAACAAGATCCACACACTCCCTCAGCTGGATCATTGACCCTACTGACCATGCTCGGGAGCAGGCACTGATGTTAATAACTTGTAATGAACACACATTCACATTCTCACACATTCCTATTCCAGAACTGTTTCTATTTTCATCTTGAAACAGCCCAAAGGAACACAACCTACAAGTAATAATTATGAGGTGCTCACAAATGGCACACGAGGATTAGTTGGCATACTGAACAGCTGAAAGAGCACCCGAGAGTGACTTACCGCTTTGTTGGCCACGCTGACTTGCTGTACGATAGTGTCTGGGGCAGAGCGCTGAACAAATACACTCTGACGTACCCACCAACACTCCGTGCTCTGAGGATGTTTAAACATGACAACGTATTCACGGGCAGACATATGCACAGACACACACATGCACACACGCACGCACACACACACACACACACACACACACGCGCGCACGCACACACACACACATGCATGCACACAGGCATATTCATCACCATGTCGTGAGAGTAAACACACTTTGTTTTGATATGCTGGACAGCTTATTTTGCTGAAGACACAGAAGCAATACAGAGACAACAATGATGACGACAATGAAAATGATGATGCAGGTGACGACGACCACCACCACAGCAGCAGCAGTGGCAGCGACGGCGGCAGCAGAAGCAACCGTAGCAGCAGCAGCAGCAGCAGCGACACAAACAGCAGCAGTGGCAGCAGGCGCAGCGACAGCAGTAGCAGCAGCAGCAATGGTGGCGGCGGCGGCAGCAACTGTTTCGCTGTTACGTTTTGCAGTATTATTGTTGAATTATCTGCTCTTCCTAAATTCTTATCATCATGAGTTTGTGTGTTCAATAAAACACGTTTCAGCAGCAGCAGCAACGGCAGGAGCAACACTGCCACCACAAGCAGCAGCAACATTGACAGTAGCAGCAGCAGTAGCACCGACATTAGCAGCACTACGTAGTACCTACCTGTCCATGAAGAGGCGCATAGATACGATGAGCAACACCTTCGCGGAAGTCAATGACAGTCGCTCCTGGTGTCAGGTCTTGGCCATTGACGGTAACGGAGACGAGGAATGCAAATGGAAGGTACTGGTCAAAGGTCTGGTTACGTAGCAGCCAAATTCCAGGGTCATCCAGCGACACACCAACATAGCCATTACCTGTGCACAGGACAACAGTTGGACACACACACACGCACACACGCGCGCGCACACGCACACATGTGTACATACGCACACATACACAGATGGACAGACAGACGCACATCGGAGAGCAATTAGGATCACGGCAGCCAAGTGCATACTGTGGACAAGTTGAGCTCATGGCCAGTAAAAACAAAGTTATGAACAGGATCGACTCCGTACCTGCACTGGATGAAGGAGTCTCATACCATAGCCTTTCATACTGTGTGAATGATTTGAAGGGCACACATGACCTCCTCAGCAGTACAAACACTTGCTGGTGGCCAACACGTTGGTCCGGCAATGCCCTGGCCAAAACGTTGGTCCGGCAATGGCATGACCAAAACGTTGGTCCGGCAATGGCCTGACCAACCAGAGCGGTTCCGCCGAGCCTGCACGGCACTCATGACTCCATGCACACATCCCTGCGAGGCAGGTCAAAACTAATCACGGTTCGCGTGGGACTCTGCTGTAGGCCGAGGTTTCCGCATCTGGAGGAATGCCATCACTCTCCATGAATCACACGTCAAATGTTCCAAAAAATAGTGAACACACCCGAGAAACTACATCCGCGACAACGCTCACTCACCGATGACCGGCGCGTATGCTTTCTGCCCAAACTGGCCGTGCATGAAGACGTTTGCATCTCCGTGATGCAACGAGGCAGAGAAACCGGCCAGTGCCTTGTGCAGGCACGTGACACCTTTGTGAGCGGACGGCTGGGTTGTCGTCAGCCAGTGGTCCCATATCAGAAACTTGAAAATCAACACCAAGCAGATACCCAGTATAGCTGGCCTACGGTACCTGGAGACCAAATAAGAGAGAGAGAGAGAGAGAGAGAGAGAGAGAGAGAGAGAGAGAGAGAGAGAGAGAGAGAGAGAGAGAGAGAGAGAGAGAGAGAGAGAAGAGAGAGAGAGAAAGAGAGACAGCGAGAGAGAATGGGAAAAGAGAGACATTAAATGCGTGATAAAACACATCAAAGCCTGCAAAACAAGCATGCATACACACGCACAGACACATGCCTTTCCTCAGTCATCGTAAAAGCAAACGACAACAGTCACTATCCTACCTCCACAGTCTGGATAGACAGAAATCACTACTGCATGACTTGAGAGTGCAAAGCAGGAACATGGTGTATGTTTATGCTGGCCGTGAGAGATTTAGTCCACAACGGAATGCAGCATGGTTAGTCAACAAAAGCACAACACGCATGTTGGTTGTTAAAGGGGAAGTTAAGGCAAAAATTAAAATTTCACCAGTTGTAGTCTTCGGGGTGCTGAGTCGAATGGTCTTGGTCCGAGGAAGCTGAGACGCTCCCTTCCTACTTGAATCCCAATCGAACTCGCGCACTTCCACCGAAACTGGGTGACTGCGCCCTACGAGATGGGGATTTGTATGCAAAATGTCACTAAAAGCGCCATTTCGTTCTTATAAAAGCACGGATGACCGCGATTGGCCCATATGTTGTAGTCTTTTGGACGCTGAGTCGACTGGTTTTGGTCCGAAAAGGCTGCGATGCAGCGTTCCTCCTTTATTCCCAATCGAACATGGTTGAACAAGTGGTCACGTGCTCCTGGGTGCCCAAATCACCTGGTCACCACGCCAGCAGGTGACAACTTTCACACCAAGGTTCAACTCGAGTTCAACTCGAGTGACAGGACTGCACCCAAAAAAGGTCAAACAGGCTAGTAAGTTGTACCCTGCAGGCACGGTGACCAGGTGACTGGCGTACGCAGGAGCACGTGACCGCTTCTTCAACCATGTTCGATTGGGAATAAAGGCGGAACGCTGCATCGGAGCCTTTTCGGACCAAAACCAGTCGACTCAGCGTCCAAAAGACTACAACATATGGGCCAATCGCGGTCATCCGTGCTTTTATAAGAACGAAATGGCGCTTTTAGTGACATTTTGCATACAAATCCCCATCTCGTAGGGCGCAGTCACCCAGTTTCGGTGGAAGTGCGCGAGTTCGATTGGGATTCAAGTAGGAAGGGAGCGTCTCAGCTTCCTCGGACCACGACCATTCGACTCAGCACCCCGAAGACTACAACTGGTGAAATTTTAATTTTTGCCTTAACTTCCCCTTTAATTGTGCATGCCAGTCAGCAGGCGACGTGTGTCACAAACTGTGTGTGTGTATGTGTGCGTGCGTGTGTGTGTGAGAGAGTGCGTGTACGTGTGTGTGTGCGCATGCATTAACTATGTTCACGCAACCCCAGGTTGCTTAGATCAAGCATGACGGCGGACGGAGTGTGAAAACACAGTCACGCAGACACAGGCGGCGTTAACGCCTACGCGGCTAGGATGTTCCAAGTAGGCTAAGTCTGGCTTGCTCGCATTTCTGCATGCCAGCACACGCGTACAGCAGTGACCAAAGAACTGCGGACTCGAGTCGTCCTCGCGGGTACAGCGTCCGCTGCACTACATGTCCATACAGCCTAGCTGGCCAGCAGCAACATGGTGACCCGAAACATCACGGCGCTGTACCCGAGGACGACGTAGTAGTTCATTGACCGGTGCTTAAGATGCAGCTAGGGTGGTGAAAAAATTCTCGATCCGCCCATGGTCGACCTTGTTCATCACACCTGCAACAATTGATGCCAAGTAGAAGACCTTTCTTCGGATGAAAAGTTGCGGTGGTGGAGGTTACTGAATTTGCGCTGATTTCGGCATTTTTGATACGGACAGCCTCGTGAATTTACTTGACAGCGGATGTACGCAGTCACAAAAAAACACGAAATCCTAAAACAGGACGTCTAAGATCAAGCAAACTTGGCTGATTTTTGGGCTGTGAAACACACATTATTTGAGCTGTACGCAAGTCGCGGCTTGGCTGACCTCATCAGGGTGACGTAGTGCACGAACTCCGCTGTTTCAGATCTGATGTGCACAGTTGCACACTCTGGTATATGTGCTCTTGCATGTAAGAGTAGATGATGGGAATGGATACTGGAAATAGACTAGGGGTGAAACAATTATACCGAATACTCGAGTACTCGCTCGGTTTTTTCAAAAATAATCGTACTCGGAATAAATCAGAGTACTCGTTCATACATGGTACATGCATTTACCACAGAAATCTGCAGTTTCAGAGCAGCAGTCGGCAGATATTGATGTGCAGACTGTGTGGAGAACATTTGTTCACGAGTAGAGAGAGCCCAAATGACCCACCAACCACTATACCCGAGAAAAATGACTGCCACTCGGTTCAATCAGGGTTGTATCATGTGATTTTAAGGCCAATGGTGTGCATTTTTTAGGAGATGAAGAATACTCGAATACTCGAATATTCGATCGGAGAAAATCAGAGCACTCGAACTCGGGATCTCAGTGCCAACTTTCACCCCTAAAATAGACGCATTGATATCACCAGGCCTAAGTTTCCAAGGATCCGGCAGTTGATTGCATCTTGTGACATTAAAAAGTTGTATGACAGTGGGCTATTGTCCTGTCGTGGCCATGGAAATCCGGTCGAATGACGCGGGGCCGGCACCCTCAGTGCGCACTGAACGTTGCGTGCAGTGCACGCGTTGGTTGATCGCATGTGTACTCACGGCTGCATGGCCAGCGCCTTGGGCCGGCACCCTCAGTGCGTACTGAACGGCGCGTGCAGTGCACGTGTTGATCTCATGCGTGCTCACGGCTGCATGGCCAGCGCCTTGGGCCGGCACCCTCAGTGCGTACTGAGCACTGCGTGCCGTGCACGTGCCGGTCGCATGCGTACTCACGGCTGCATGGCCAGCGCCTTGCTCGGGCCGGCACCCTCAGTGCGTACTGAACGTTGCGTGCAGTGCACGTCGCATGCGTACTCACGGCTGCATGGCCAACGCCTTGGGCCGCTTGGCCTCCGACCGGATTTTCATGCCCATGACAGTCTAGTAGTAGTTCATATATTGCCCTACTTCTATTTACAGTGTCTGCACTACAATGGCTAGCCATTCAACAAGACAGATATTGCACAGGGATTGTGTAACAGTTCACTATAGACAGATATTGCACAGGGATTGTGTAACAGTTCACTATAGACAGATATTGCACAGGGATTGTGTAACAGTTCACTATAGACAGATATTGCACAGGGATTGTGTAACAGTTCACTATAGACAGAATTTGCACAGGGATTGTGTAACAGTTCACTATATTGCACCGTGACTGGGTAACATGTTTGTACCTGTTGGATTTTGTTCTGGAGAAGAAGAAAGCCCACGTGAGGCTGGCCAGAGTGCCCGTCAGGAATACCAGCCGCGAGCACAGACGACACAAATCGTTGAGTCTGACATGGCGGCGGGCAGTGGCCGATGCGCCAGCTTCACCGGCCAGCTTGCCTGAGGAAGGTCGTCGGCGCAGCCTGCCTGGTGGTGTGGTCGCCACTGAAATGGAATTGATCTCGCCACTGCTTCAGATGAGTGATTGATCTCAATAATACTAACAGCACATACATGTAAACTGCAGAAGACTCATTCACCAATTACTGCACTATCCAATGGAACGAAAATGAGACTATCCAAAGAATAACAATGGCGACACGGCAACTCAGGAACTGCAAATGTAGAGTCAAGGGACGGTAACCAAATCGGCGAGCTTCAAGGAATTGGAAGCACAAAGACTAGAACAATCATGTAACACTTCGCATAAACTAAACGACACAATAATTGCAAAATTTTGATTCTTTGTCTTGTGAATAATTATTGTTGACATCTGACGTACAAATGACGTGCTGTCCAGCTGCACTGTGCATGATCATGACTGTGACTTTTGTGTTTGAGTGTGACGTCAGGCAGGAAGTACGTATTTTAGGCCAAGTAAAAAAAAAAGCTAGATGATCGTCCCCGGGCGGCCCCGTCCGCCCCAGTTTTTGTCAGCGCCCCAAGAAATATTTTATTTTTTACTATATGGACCACATACTACTAGTATATCACAACGTCAGTATCGATCTGCTGAAGAAAGAAAAAGAAAAAAAGAAAAAAAAAGAAAAAAAGAGAAAAAAAACCTTGATGTTGTTGTGTACACTGTGTGCATGAGAGGGTAAAAAGTAAAAAAATAAAAATAAAATCCTCCCGCCCTCCCCGATTTTTCCAAAAAAAAGGACGATCATCTAGTAATTTTTTTTACTCGGCCTTACCCATGCATGCAGTGGTCGTACAGGTAGCTGGAGTGGAGTGGAAATGCCGCAAATGTATCATCAGTATCACTCCTTACAAAAATTTTAATAGTACTGTATTATCATGTAATTTTAGGTACCAGGCCAGGGACTACAATATTATAGCAGGGGACCTGCCAGGTTTCAATTACACGTGTACACCGAAAATAACGTGTTTACAGTATAGTATTGACTCCCATAGATTTTTGCCATACCTAAGCAGTCAAAATTATATTCCTGCATATTTCACTCCCGCTAAGTTAAGTTAGGGCTATTTGACTCTTTTTTTTAGCGATTGAACACAGGCTTTGGCTAGTCGTGATAAATCTAATATTGACTTCGTAGACCTACTTGGTCAGTATTGGAAATAAAAGACCTCGGCTTCGCCTCGGTCTTTTACTCGGCTTTTATTTCCTATAATTATTGACCTCGTACTCAGTCAATATTAGATACATACTTCTCTGAAACAGGTCGAGGCCGTGCTGAGGGATCTTCATGGCTCAGATCGATCTACACAAGCAGTCCTTCCCCAGACGCGCAAAAAAAGACCTCTCCCACTAATCCCGATATAACAGCTCTGGGCTATGGGAGGAGAAGAACTGAATACCAAGGGCCGGCAAAGGGGCAAAGTCCAGGTCATTGCGGAAGAAAAAAATGTGATTGTTTCTTGAATGTTCTTCGTCATCGGGGAGTAAATCTGAGAGTAGTAGACCTACTTCTGATCCCTTTTCCGTGTGCTGTCACCGTTACTGCTATTTCATTAGTTTGAGGAAGTCCTGTCATAATTATATATTTTCCTAGGAGGATCTCCAAGCCAAACGCTACTTCCAGCACTTTTCTTGTTCATTCTGGAGGCAGTTTGGCAATGTAGGTCTGACTTTCCCAACTACGAGTCCTACTGCATTCCGTATTAAATACTCGCTGGGCAGTGGCCACAGCTAAACAGCGTGATGAGGCTTCATCGCAAGATGCAGAAGATGGAACTCTCTTCCGACGATGTACTAGAAATTGTCATTGATGTGTCGCAAAACGAGATTATGACCGTATTGGCAGGGGAACTAAAGACGAGCTTCGATACTGGCGGATGGCTTTCGCTCGCTCTGGGAATAAGTGCCGGGCCGTTTCGACTTTTGACAAACACCAAGTTCGGGCTTGGATTCGGAGGTCAATTCTCTTTCTCTTCTGGAAGCTCAACGGAGCCGGTGCGGATGGTGCTCGAGAGTCTGTCCTCGCAGCAGAAAGACCTCCTGCGGCGCTATTTCTTGGAGGACATCATGAGTGATGTCGGCCGAGATGTTGAAGACGTAGCCGGATTTCAGAAATTGATGGAGGTGAGCGACTCCGCGCGTAAGGCAGTGGAAGACCTTTTGGTCAGATTTGTAACAGAAGTAATGGGCAGAAGAATTGTTTCAACGTAACGGGACAATTCCGTACTGAATATCAATCAGCTAAATTATAATAATATCTTTATTAGGATGACCCAGTTATAATGCCACTTGCTTGAGCAATAGTCCCAGTACAAGTCCATTACAACAATGGCGATCACAACGACGAAAGCTGCAACAGCAGTAACAGAAACAAGAAAGTCATGTCCGCCACTAAATTAAATTTTATCACAAGTTTTTTTTTGCAACTGCACTGATATTATTTTTAGGTCAATATCCAAATTTTATGAAGGCTTGCTTTCCTTTGACATGCATTGGCAGTATTCATGATCTTGCTTCTTTTGCAGGTAAAACGAATTTCAATAAAATATTGATGTCAATTTTCGACACCCAGAAGTAACTGGGCATTCTCCATCAGCATTCAATAATTATTTTCAAAACGAAACTCCATCAAACCCACCCACCCACAAACGAAAACATTTCGTTTTGAAAAATATTATTGGTAACCTTGGACGGCCCCTAATACACTGAGGAAAGGTTTCAGTATGGTATCAGTAGGCTAACATTTGACCTACATGTACACGTATATGTACATGTATAATGTTCATGGAAAGAGTGATGGTTCGGCTGTTCATAGAAAGAAATATTTTCTGGAATCACGTCATTACTTTTACAAACGTTACTTGAAAGTAAACACGGTTTAATTATTTGAACGACTCTCGAAGTCGCGGATGCGTCCTGTTTCATTGCATCCTGCCGATCAACAATTTGCAAGGTACATGATTGTATATCCGAATTATAATTATGTATTCGTTGCAACAGTAGGTTTCCAGCGATTTGGATTTGGAATATGTTACAGTTTGCAGTGGTTTGGGAAATAATTCGTTGCGATTGTAGCAAAAACGAGAAGTGCGGATTTTTTGTCTGTAGGCACCGGCGGAAAAAATGGCAGAATTCAGTACCTTATATGGTAAGTTTCATGCATGTTTGGTCTGTGGATAAAGAAATGGAGCAGAATTCGAGGAATTGCCCACCATAAGGTTTGTATGGTTCTGCCACTTTCACTGCTTTTCGAGCAGAATCTGACACCTTTTCGAGCAGAATCCGCCTGTGCCTACCTATCTGTGTTGCCTTTTGGGAGGTAATTTTTTAAATCACGGATAAAAATACAACAAACTCTCCTCCTCCATGCGCTCTAGAGCCGACCATTGCTGCCCTCGGCAGCCAACTACTCACACCGATAACTTTAAACAATAAAGGGGTCACGGGTAAAACATTTCCTTCTGACAGCTGTTTCGCCTATCAAGGGCTCATCAGAGAAGGAAATGCTGGCGATTGTACATGTAATTGACATGGCGAAATTACTAGCAAAAATGGATAATGTGAAAAGGCGACGTGGAGACAATAATCTTAAAAATGCAATGAATTTAACTAAATGCGCACTCATATCACAACCATGGGGACGAATAATGTACTCCAGAACGTTCTGGAATACATTATTCGTCCCCATGGTTGTGATATGAGTGCGCATCTAGTTATATTCATTGCATTATAAAAATGGATAATGGATAAATATGCGGATAAAAAAATATGTTACGAGTTATGACTATCTGTCCACTAAGGTAACGAGATCATAAAACAGTCAGCGAACGCGACAACAAAGCACACACTGCAATGACAAGCAGTACCGAGACATTCGAAGACCTGACACCTAGCTCCAACCCTTCTACGAGGCGCAAACCAACAACCTTCCAACTGTTACTTGGAAGGCTCAGGTTAGGAAAGGTCGAAGAGGGAAAAGAAAGTGCACCAAAGGAGAGAACGAGCTAAAAAAAAGCTGACCTTTGTTCTGGTTACGTTGGTGGACAGATAGCCATAATTCGTACTTCTTTTTGAAGTAACATTCTGTCCTTTCTCTTTATAGAAAAGAAAAAAGACCAAGGAACTACAAGTTACGCTATAATGTCCACTAACACCACCAGTTACTAAACAATCAGCTCATGTGATAACATTGCACGACACTAACCGACGGTACTGACGCTCTACAACTAACTGGCTAACAGCTAACTTGTAGTTCCTTGGTCCTTTTTCTTTTCTATAAATTAATCCTGGGCTCTTCATTGGAGTCCATCCTTTCTCTTTATCCATGATTACTTTGGCTCAACATCCAAGTTCAATTTAAAACAAATATGATTCCCTAGGTGCTGTGTGAATGACAAGGTTAGGATTGAAAACAGAACATGGAGAAAGAAGTGTTGGCTATCCCGTCACTGGATCTTAATTGAATGCTTTGAAGTAGCGCCTATACTGGATCATGATTATGCATAGCAGACTGAAACTCGTGGGGCAAGACATTCCACAGGAGTTGATGGGCGGCGATTCAGGGGCGAAAGTCACCTGCATGACGGTTGCGCCGCAGGGACTTGTATTCTTCATTTCCCCTCCTCATGGTTTTACTGCATTATGGCGCGCTTTGTGTGCGTAGACGCCGAGACCAGTTAACATCGGCAAAGCAGCCTGGCCCCGCCACCACTTCTCGCACATATTCGGGAATATAGTGGACTTTTGTGTAAAAAAATTAAAAAATCAAGGAGTGTAGTTAGCAATGACACTGCTACTTCAATTTTTCGAGGTAGGATGTGAGCATAACTATACACTTTTCCTCATCCATGAGGTTGAAGGAGTTGAAAGTGGGGAAAGTCTGAAGAGAGACCGTGGCTGCTTTGCTGTGAATAGGGAGCGATTTTCCGGACGGGGAAAGACATCCTTAGGGAGGCCGTTTCACAATTCAACGACACAGTACGGGAAGGAGCTTCGAAGGTAATCAGGACTGGTCCTGGGGGTGGTCTTTACGGGCTGTTACGGTGCTGGCGCTGAACATGATGCTGCTGGCGGGTTCGAACACTATCGGCCCGTGGCTTTAGGGGAGGGCGGATGCTTGTCAGAATAATCGAAGAAAAAGTTATTTTGTAATTTGTGCAGTAAGACGTCTCTGCGAAGCAGTTACATCATCTGGTTGCGATGTCAACAAAAACACTGGTCGGAAGATCCACTTTTCTGAGGTACTGTGTGTGGGGCTCCGTTTATAGAGGTGCGTTGAAATTTATTCTCTTCATCTTATTAT